GTGTGATGGCATTTCCTTTCCACAAGAAGCCGTTAGGAAGCTGTCATCGTCACTGTCATCGTCATTGTCCCCACTCTAGGGCCAGGAAGATGAGGAACTCGTTACAAGGGAAGATACTGAATTTGAGTGTGTCCAGGCCAGGTCCCCTTTGAAGAGCAGCATGGCACGTGGGCCTGTGAGCACAGACATTAAATAGTGCCCACAAACAAAGGTTGTGCAGCACGGGGGCGTGTGCTTCCCGGACAGCGTGGTGCACCCCGGGCAACTCGGAAGGCCACGCTGGGTGAGTGAGAGGGACTGGAGTGATGGACTGCTTGGCCTTCAGGGTGGCTGACCTTGATTGCTTCTTTTTTTGGTGAGCCCTTTGATTTCTTCTTATGTTTTGTTGGTTTTTTTTTTTTTTTGTGGTACTGGAGTTTGAACTCAAGGCCTTCACCTTGAGCCACTCCACCAGCCCTATTTTTGTGAAGGGTTTTTCAAGATAGGGGTTCTCAAACTATTTCCTTGGGCTGGCTTCAAACCTGCCTCCTCCTGACCTTTGCCTCCTGAGTAGCTAGGATTACAGGCGTGAGCCACGGCACCCGGCTCTTCTTGTGTTTTAAACTTGAGTTAATAACATACATTTTTAATAACCAGATTTGAGTTCGTAGCAAGCAAGAGATTAAAAGTTGGTGGGAGGGCTGGCAGAGTAGCTCAAGTGGTAGAGCTCCTGACTAGCAAGCATGAAGGCCCTGAGTTCAAACCCCAGTCCTGCCAAAAAAAAAAAAAAAAAAAAAAAAGTTGGTTGGGTGAGTATTTGGGTTTGAATTCCGGGCCTAGAGGTCACCAGGCAGGTGCTTTGCCATTTGAGCCACACCTCCAGCTTTCTTTTCTAATCTGATAGGGTCTTTCACTTTTGCCCAGGCTGGCTTGGACTATGATCTCTGCTTCCTTAGCTGGGATTACAGGTGTGACTCACCGGGCTTGGATTCTCTTAAAATTATTTCTATCTTTTTTTTTTTTTTTAATTATTTCTATCTTGAATGACCAGGTTTCTGATAATAAAATACACCATGGTGTAATTTTGATTAAAAAAGCATTTCTGTGTATTTATTTATTTTTGTGTCAATATTAGCTCTTTATTTTTATTCAGATACATTTTTTATTTAAGTCGTATTTCCTGAAATCTAACATACAGGGAAAAGCCATTAAGCAGCTCATACTCCAGTTCTACTGGGGTCCCATAAAGCTAGAATTACAGCCGGGCACCAGTGGCACACGCCTGTAATCCCAGCTACTCAGGAGGCGGAGATCAGGAGGATCAGGGTTCCGTTCCAGCCCCAGGCGAATGGTTTGTGGGACCCAATCTCGGAAAAACTTCACAGGAAAGGGCTGGTGGAGTGGCTCAAGGTGAAGGCCCTGAGTTCAAGCCCCGGTACTGGACAAAAGAAGATCTGTGCCTTTATCGTCAGACTATAGACTTAGGAACGTCTTAGTTCAGAGGAGAAGAGAAAGTGAGCCGAGCAGCGGCCGCCCCGCTCCGCCCCTCCCCGAGCTGGTGTTGCCATTTGGCCCCGTGTCGCTCCTTCTCCACTCTTGCGAGGACGGCCGACCGCGTCGTGTTTATTCCTAAGGCCTCCGAGTCCAGGCAGTGTCCCTGCTGCCCAGGCCTCAGCCCCAGTGGCGCTGGCAGTGGTTCACTCTCAGTGTGCCACTCCTCGCTCCTCGGGCGTGTGTGCGTGACCGGGTTTGGGGACAGATGCTGTGTGGACACTGTGTGACTGGGTTTGGGGACAGGCGCCGTGAGGACACCGTGTGTGTGACTGGGTTTGGGGACAGGCGCCGTGTGGACACTGTGTGACTGGGTTTGGGGACAGGCACCGTGTGGACACCGTGTGTGTGACTGGGTTTGGGGACAGGCACCGTGTGGACACCGTGTGCGTGACTGGGTTTGGGGACAGGCCCGTGTGTGACACTGTGTGACTGGGTTGGGGACAGGCACTGTGTGGACACGGTGTGTGTGACTGGGTTGGGGACAGGCGCGTGAGGACACCGTGTGTGACTGGGTTTGGGGACAGTGCCGGTGGACACTGTGTGACTGGGTTGGGGACAGGCGCGTGTGGACACTGTGTGACGGGGTTTGGGGACAGCGCCGTGTGGACACGTGTGTGTGACTGGGTTTGGGGACAGGCGCCGTGTGGACACCGTGTGCGTGACCGGTTTGGGACAGGCGCCGTGTGGACACTGCGTGACTGGGTTTGGGGACAGGCGCTGTGTGGACACTGTATTGTGACTGGGTTTGGGGACAGGCGCCGTGTGGACACTGTGTGACTGGGTTTGGGGACAGGCACTGTGTGGACACCGTGTGTGTGACTGGGTTTGGGGACAGGCGCCGTGTGGACACTGCGTGACTGGGTTTGGGGACAGGCGCTGTGTGGACACTGTATGACTGGGTTTGGGGACAGGCGCGCGTTGGGACACTGTGTGACTGGGTTTGGGGACAGGCACTGTGTGGACACCGTGTGGGTGACTGGGTTTGGGGACAGGCGCTGTGTGGACACTGTGTGACTGGGTTTGGGGACAGGCACCATGTGGACACCGTGTGTGTGACTGGGTTTGGGGACAGGCGCCGTGTGGACACTGTGTGACTGGGTTTGGGGACAGGTGCCGTGTGGACACTGTGTGACTGGGTTTGGGGACAGGCACCATGTGGACACCGTGTGGGTGACTGGGTTTGGGGACAGGCGCCGTGTGGACACTGTGTGACTGGGTTTGGGGACAGGCACCGTGTGGACACCGTGTGTGTGACTGGGTTTGGGGACAGGCGCTGTGTGGACACTGGGTGACTGGGTTTGGGGACAGGTGCCGTGTGGACACTGCGTGACTGGGTTTGGGGACAGGCGCCGTGTGGACACTGTGTGACTGGGTTTGGGGACAGGCGCCGTGTGGACACCGTGTGTGTGACTGGGTTTGGGGACAGACGCCGTGTGGACACTGTGTGACTGGGTTTGGGGACAGGTGCCGTGTGGACACTGTCCCTCCCTCGGGCTGTGCTGCGTGTTTCCAGGGCAGCCACTCTCCACCCCACGCGCGGTGCCGTGAGCGTCTCAGGCTGCTGTGCCTGGGACGCCGGTGGCTGTTATTATTTATTTGTCGTCGTATCATTTCCGGGCATGGTGGGCTCCGTCCTCCAGGGTCAAGCCGGCTGCCACCGCAGTGGACGTGGTTGTGCAGCCCAGATGCTGTGGCCACTTTGTGACCTCTGGCAGCGTGGATTCTGAACACAGACCCGGCCTGTTTCACCTGGGTCAGCCCGACGGCTCCTCGGCCCGCCCAGGTGACATTCGGGAATACCGATCCCCAAATCCCCTGCGAGGAAATCCGAGTGTCTAACGGAGAACCATGGGCGGTCAGTTCTCAGCTAAAGGAAGCGCCCTACAAAATCTGCTGCCACAGGGTCTGACGGGGCCCTCCTAGAGAGCTAGCTACTTACAAATGATTCCTTTTGCCCAAAAGAAAACCTTTTTTTTTTTTTGTGGTGGCCCTGAGATTCGAACTTAGGACCTCACACCTGCTATGCAGGCGCTCTGCCACTTGAGCCAGGCCCCTGGTCCTCTGGCTCTGGTTAGCTTTTAGGTAGGAGCTCACGTTTGTGCCTGGGTGGCCTGGCAATGTCCTCCTATTTATGCCTCCTGCATCCCTGGGGTGACAGCCCACACCACCATGCCCATCTTATTGGTTGAGATGGGGTCTCTTGAACTATTTGCCCCAGCTGGGTGCCAACCATGATTCTCTGCCTCCCGAGTAGCTGGGATTACAGACGTGAGCCACTGAGCCCTACAGAAAATCTGTTTTAAATGAAAGTGTGTGTGTCGATTTAATTTGCTTGATTGAATCATTTCACTAAATGTCACTTTGTACGCTATAAATATACAAAATTCTTATTTGCCACTTAACACCTTAACAAAACTGGGGGATAGTGGAGAGAGGAAGCCTGTGTTCACAGAAGGCACAGACACGTCTCTGTCACAGGGTTTATATGGATCCCGTTACGGGCTAGTCACGGGTCCCACCGAGAGGTTAGTCTTTGACAACTGAAAAGGCTTCCCTCACGCAGAGCTGCGGGAGTGTCAGGAATGTCCCAAGCATTGTTTGACAAAGCATTTTGGATCTTGTGACCGTGGTTTTGCATTGAATGTGTTTTGCTTCCACTCGGATCCTCTGGGAAGCACCGAGCTCCGAGCCTCCCACGGGGCCGCGCCTTCCTTTCTAAGCTCAAAGGGCGCCTCACATAGGGTGTAGGTGTTAAAACAGGAGCGTGGTGACCCACCGACGGGGCCGCCTCTCTCAGCTTCAGCCTCTTAGCACCGTGTGCGCCAAGATGCTCTGATTTTTCTCTAAAAGCCTCAAGTCTGATTTTGGGGTCTATTTTTTTTGGTTGGGCTGGGATTTGAACTCAGGGCTTGCACTGTACCACTTGAGCCACGACTCTAGTCCATTTTGCTCTGGTTATTTTGGAGATGGGGGGGTCTCATGGACTGTTTGCCTGGGCAGGCCTCAAACAGCAATCCTCCCGGTCTCAGACTCCCAAGTAGCTGGGATTACAGACGTGCACCACTGGTGGCTGACTCAAATCTGAATTTTTAAAACACTGCGAATCTGTTCAAGAATTTAAAGACACCATCGAGCAAAAGGGTGTCCTGTGGCTTGTCTTAACTACACCTCTCGCATGTTTCAAGTGTACTTCCCAGCTTGGCAATCTGCTGTTGAACCTGAGGTCCCCTGACTCAACTTCCTAAGTGTGACTTTTCCATGCCATTCTTCCTGCTTCCGTGTTAACCCGCTAAAGACAATTTAAATTTATTCCATAGCGACATAGACACAGTGCTGCGTGCTGGACCGCAGGCACACCGATCCACACAGGAAGTCTAAAGTCAGTCTTTGCGGCTGCTCTCGGGTTTCTCCAGGTGGAGTGACATTGTCACAGTCAGAGGCCAACTCTTCTCTCCTTCTCTCTGCAGCCGACGTTTCATCAGGCTGACAACGTCCGGGGGACACGCCACCATGGGCTGGTGGAGAGGCCAGCCCGGAACCGTTTCCACCCCCTCCACCGAAGGTCTGGGGACAAGCCAGGGCGACAGATATCCTTTGTCACGGACTGAGGGGACTGTGGGCTTTGAAAAGGTTTGCAAGGTTTTCGTGATGTGCCTTCCCTAGACTTCCCCCCTGGCCTCAAAAATCTTCATTTATTGTGATGAGGCCAATCTAGAAACGACTCCACCGCCAGCTGCAGGTTGCCTGCCAGAAAGCATGGCTCGAGTTCAGCTTAATGACAGCAGTGCCACCTGCAAGGCGTTCTCAGAGTTTTCTTGAGACATGGGCAAAGTCAGACTTAAGCCTGACTTCCAGGTTTAGTCAACAGATGGCTTTGTCACTTATTTGCATTTCTGTTGACCTGCTGACCTGCTTTTTAACTTAAAGAAGAAATCTCTCATTTTCTACTAGAGTTTCAAACTCAGTACACGACGAGCAAAACGTAAACTTGGAGTTCAGGAAAATTCCCACACAGTGATGTGGACGTGACCCGGGCTCTGTGTTGCTCGGTGGCAGTCAGGGAAAGGAGAGGGTGGATTTGTCCCAGTTTTATTTGGCCAGGACCTGAAGGGCAGGACAGGGTGGCACCTGCAGGCTGTGGGGTTCAGAAGCAGCTGGACGTGGTGGGGACCTCACTCTCACTTCTCAGCGCTCAGCTGGGTTGGAGGAAGGAGAGGCAGAGCCCAGTTCCTGGTGGTGAGGGCAGGGCTGGCTTCCCAGGCCTAGAAACCAGGAAGCGGGGGAGGGCACGCGTGTTTACCAGCACCTGCCCACGCCAGGCCTGTGCTGTGCGAGCACTTCATGTCCCCAGGCCCTCAGAAGTCCCCAAGTCCTTTCTTTCTTTAACCCTCATTTTCCCACGAGAAAATGTGGGTGTCACAGCAACTCGCCCAGGCCTCCTGCCCAGGAGGACTGTGTACTCCCCCTGGGGAGGCCTGGGGGCCAGAGGGGGACGCCCCTCGCCTGCAAGGTTCTTTGGGTTTTCATCTGTTTGGAGCTGGGGATCATGGCCCCCTCCTGCTCCCCAACACAGCACATTCTGTCCACAGAGGTCCCCAGATAGCCAGTTTTGTCAGCATCAGGGAGAATGCCGATGACAGATGGTCTTGGAAATTCCGTTCTGGAGTGTGAACATTGACACAAGCAAAAGGTAGAAAGAAAAGGGTGGGGGAGATTTAGGGCAATTGAGCTAACGCAGGCATGGGGGGCGTGGAAGGGCGCCCCAAACCATTGTCCAAATCGTTTGGAATGTTGTAGCAAGACTGTTCATCGCGTGACTTAACAACACAGAGGCTGGGCTGCAGCTTAGTGACAGATGCTTGCCTAGCACTCGCAAAGCCGTGGGTTCAATGCCCAGCACCACAAAAAAACAAACAAAACAAAAAACAACTCTTTGCTGGGGTGTGACTCGTTGATAGAATGCTTGCTGGTGTCCATGCAGCCCTGAGTTCAGTCCCCAGCGTCACACACAAAACAATTTAAACTAAAAAATCCGAAAACTATCCACACTGGGAGCTTGGCTCAAATGGTAGAGGGCTTGCCTAGGAAGTGCGAGGGCCTCAGTTTAATCCCCAGAACTGACAAAAAACTTTTTTAAAAAATCTAGGGCAACATGAGCTATAAATAAATAAGTAAAATAAAATCAAACAAATCAGAAAAAAAGCATACAGTATCTCTCAGTTTCTCAATTCCTTCTCTTTTACATTTTTTTTTTTTGTGGTGCTGGAGCTTGAACTCAGGGCCTTCACCTTGAGCCACTCCACCAGCCCTTTTTTGTGATGGGTTTTTTTTGAGATAGGGTCTCTGTAACTATTTGCCTGGGCTGGCTTTGATCCTTCTGATCTCTGCCTCCTGAGTAGCTGGGATTATAGGTGTTTGCCACCATGCTTACATTTAACTGTGAATGTGTATACATGGCCATCTCAAATGCTTTTTGAAGCAGGCATGGTTTCGATGTGCACGGATATATGCATAGCTTTAATTAGCCAAAGAAACGGAAGACGAGGGAACTTAAGAGGAGAAAGAGAAGAGTGTGCGTCTCTGAAAAATGACCAAGTGCCTGCTTGCTCAGCCACCTTTTGTAGACTGGACAGTGGCTCTCCTACAGGTAATACCTGTCCTGGAGTTGGTTATAGTCGTGGAGAGGCAACAGAGCCACAGCTGGAGCCAGTCTAGGGGGACAGAGGACATGTTCCGGAGGGACACCTGAGACCTGGAAGAAGTGAGGGGACACCATTTACTAGACCCAGGCACCTCCCCATGTGCTCGGGACAAAGTGATGGGGGACAGCCGGCACCCCACTGTCTTGAGTGTAGGGTCCCCTGGGAGATGACAGACAGCAAAGAGGCCGAAAGTGATCAAGGAAGGGGCTTTGGATGCTGAGATGTGAGCGTGAGGAGAGGGGCAGTGGGAGTGAAGCCAGGGAGGCCCAGAGGTCCCGTCTCATCGGGCAGCGATGTGGGTAGCTGACCCCGAGTCCTCTCGTGAGGTCATCCGCACAGCCCAGCAGCTGCTCATGGAGGGAAAAGCAAACAGCAGTGACCACGCTGGTGCCACCACTCACCAGGGAGCAGGGGTGTGACGTTCTCTGCGGCCTGTCCCTAAGCCCCTAACTGGGGTCCCGGCCCTAGACATGGGCCCTGGTGAAGAAAGTCCTGGAGCCTGGCGGTGCCCACTGGTGACACGCGAGTGTCTGCTGAGGAATCCAGAGACCGTGAGCTCCAAGCAACGTGCAGGGCGACTGAGTTCTTTCTCCTGCACGGCCTGCGTTCTGGGGTAAAATAATCACTAAAATTGCTGCCTTTCATGTTCATCGCCTTTTTCTTGACGTTTTACCATTTGCAAGTAGGAAAATTTGTTTGAATCTTGTTGATGCAAACAAAGCTCTCTTACTGCCGTGCTTCTTGGCTTGGGTGGTATTTTAAGACAGGCAGACTGGCTTAGACAAGGGCCCAGTCCAGGAACACAGCGATCACAGATAACACGACCATTGTTCAGCAAATACTCCAGCTTCTTCCCAGAGTGGGCGGCTTGGCACACGGAATTCCTTCTGCACTGGGCAGCCATACCCCGGACACGGCCAGGGCAGTGGGCTGTTGGCACGTATAGCTGCCACAAGCAAACCAGAGCCCTGCCGCAGCTGGGCCCCCATACGCAAAGGGAGGTGCCACAGGGCTGTTCCTGCCCGGGGTCGGGCTCGGGGAGCTCAGACCGAAATGTCTTGTGCCCATGTGCAACCCAGGCCTTTGCAGCCTGTATCCCACAGAGCGTCTCATTGAGTTTCTGAACTATTTCCATAGATGGACAGCAATGAACTGTTCTCCTAGACCTGTGAGGAAGGCATGAAAAAAAAAGGACACAGTAAAAAGTCATGGAAAATCCATCTTCTGAAAGACATCTGTTTTTTTACTTACAGCTATTTTTTTTTTTGGCGGTACTGGGATTTGAACTCAGGACCTCATACTTGCTAGGCAGGAGCTCTACCACTTGAGTCAGTCCGCCAGAGAAGCCAACTGTCTAGAAAATTCCCAAGATAACAGGGTTCCTCTCTAGAGTGGCCTTGCTTCGGGGCTTCCATCACAGGAGGGCGGAAGTTTTAGAACGCAATTAAAAGGCCATTCTTTTAAATTAATGGCCTGTTGAATTTGGGAAACACTGTGCTCTGTCTGCTCTTGGAGCCCCTCGGAGCACAGTGGACTCAGAGAAGGTCTGAGCTTAAGAGACCCTGCCTTTAACAGAGGCTTCCAAAACCTCGCCTAACACCCAAATCATCTCCAAGAACAGGGCTGGTGGAGGGGCTCAAGCTGTAGAGCACCTGCCTAGCAAGTATAGCTCCGAGTTCAAATCCCAGTTTAAGGGAAGATCATTCTGACCTCAAAATCCTATATGCAGCCTATTTGCCGCTGACTTGCTTCAAGAAATAAGAAGGTACAAGCACCCCAAAGGTCCCCTCATACCTCCCTTAGCATGGGACATGGGCACAGTCGGAGGGGATCAAGAGGAAGTAGAGTGACAGTAAGACATGCTTAGTAATTAGGAACCAAGCTGTGCCTGGTTTTATATATAAAATCTGACCTGGACTTTGTCTTGGTGGGTCCTGTTTACCAAATTCCAAGTCCATTCACCTCGCCAGCTACATGGAGGGACACAGGCCTGCGCCACAAACTGTCCCTGGCAGAACACAGAGTTCCAGAGCATAGGAGAAATGACCACCCCCAGGCCACCTCTAGAAGGCTGTTCTGGAGCCCTGCCTGCCCCAGCTGCACAAGCATGTGGGGACAGAATCCATGAGATGAACCCAGCCCTGCTCACCCTGCTAAGGCAGACACCACCAAAACAACGGGGCGGACTGACTTCAGCATCTGCTGCTCAGTAGCCCCACCCACTATTGGCAAATGGCCAAGAGGTGTCCTCTGACATCAACAGAAGGAAGTGCTCCTCCCCTTCCTCCAGGATGAGGGAGAGGGAGCTGACCCCTATCGCCCTCCCCAGGTCAAGTTTGGGGCAGTAGGAGTTCTCTTGATGAGGAGTTGAACTGGAGAAGGGGTTTCCTCTACTGACTGCAGGGACTTAGGGAGGGAGGGGACGGACTGAGATGACTCTGAGATCCCAGATGGTCACCCTCATCCATAGACAGAGAACAAGAAGAGGTGCAGATGGCAGGTGGCAGAGGACGAGGAGTGGCTGGTTGGATTTGCGGTGGAATTCGAGGTGTCTGTGGCACCCTGGGGAAGAACCCCAATAGGGTGGAAATAGGGTCTTAAGATTCACAAGAACCTTGGGGGCTGGAGACATGGCTTTGTGAACTGCTTTGTGACTGAAGCCAAGGCAAAGATGGGACTGACCACTGGAAGCAGGAAAGCCAGGCCTGTCCACCTGGGAGGAGGGCGTGGCCTGTCTCCCACCCACATGTCCTGCCTGACACGCCTGTGCCCAGAGGCTCAGGCCTCCGCCTGCTCCCCTCTACCTGGTCCTGAGTGATTCTGAGCCCCTCCTCCATCTTGTCCCTGACAGAGCTATGTGAGTGTGGACATGGCTGACACTGAGGCCACAGGACCCCAGGGGGCAGCAGGGGCATAGGAGCTAAGGAGGCATGCAGAGGGATGATGGGGTGGGAGTAGGGTTTGAACTTTGGTTGCTGGTGCCATCCGTTTCCTGCCCCTTTCTTGCTTCTGCTTTTCATCACCCGCCCTTGCAGGCTTGTCTGGACACACTCAGCTTCCTGGGGTAATGGAGGAGTCACGCGGCTTGCTAAAAGCCAGCCTCCTGTGTTTCTCCTCTGTCCATGCCCTGGCAACTGCCAGGCACCAGAAACAGCTTGTGGAGTTAGAGGACAAAGTTGAGCTGGGCACCGTGGCTCACACCTGTAATCCTAGCTACTGAGGAGGCAGAGATCAGGAGGATCGAGGTTTGAAACCAGCCCAAGCAAATAGTTCTCAACAGACCATCTCAAACAAACCCATCACAAAAATAGGGCTGGCAGGGTGGCTCGAGTGGTAGAGCTCCTGCCTAGCAAGTCTGAGGCCCTGAGTTCAAACCTCAGTGCCACATACAAAAAAAGGTCAAAGTTGAGTTTACGAACAAAGGTGTTTTTCCTGTATTTAGGTAGTTCATTAGGACATACCAGCATTGAGAAGTCATTAAAGCCACCTCAGTGAGGTCTTCTGAAATCTTGAAAAGAGCAGATAAACCTTTCTATGTTCTCTTGCATTTGACCCTGATCTGTGGCATTAGTGGTCCTCTTGGGTTTACCTGGGCCAAATTAGATGAGACCGTGCAAAATAAGAGGGTACACATCTCATCCTTGAACTTTTGGCACCTCAGCCCAGTCGTGTGAAGAGTGTCGGGAATTTGCTACACGTCCGTGTCGTTAGTTTTCACCAGGCAGGGTAAAATGTGCACGCGGTGCCTCAGCCGCGACACAGCGGCATCCGATCCTTACTTCTGTGCCACCGCGTCCCAATCTGCACGAGCAATACCGTGCAACTGCACTTGATGATTTTTAAGGACAACAGGGGACAGAAAATATCTCCTGGCAAACATCTGTTTCAGGAATTAAGCTTTCCTGAGCAAAAGATTCATCAGATCCTGCAGAAAAGAGAAAGGAGATAACCGCAGGATTCAAGGCTCTGCCAACTAGAACGTGACGCTCTCATGTTTCCTTGTCACCCACCCTCCTCCGTCTCCCGCTCGGATCTAGTCTGTGTTCCACACACGTGAAGCCGAACGGATAACGTTGAAGCAGTGTCTCTCTGGAGTATGTCTTCGTGTCACTGTGTTGGCTCAGGGTCAGATTAAAAAGTAAGATAATGAGAGCCTGGCACAGCAGCTCCCGCCTATAATCCCAGCTACTCTGGAGGCAGAGATCAGGAGGATCGCAGTTCCATGCCAGCCAGGCAGAAAGTTCACGAGACCCCCATCTCAACAAACAAGCTGGGTACATCCTATCATCCCAGCTACACAGGAGATGTAGTTAAGAGGCTCTGTGGTCTAGGCTGGCCCAGGCAAAACTGCAAGACCCTACTTAAAAGACAACTAACACAAAAGGGGCTGGGGGGTGGGCTCAAGTGGCAGAATGCTTAGATCCTGAGTTCAAACCCCAGTCCTGCCAAAAAAAATGAACTGAAGAACGAAGGAAACCTATGAGCTGTGACAATGGAAAGGAAGGTCCTGATGCTTCTCCTGGCAGAGGAGGCGTTTCCCACTTCGTCACTAAGGTCTCGTCCGCGTCCACGTTTTCCCGACTTGGGATTCTGTGTTGGTTGGAGATGCCCAGCCTAGGCCTGCAGGGTGGGCCCCTCCACCTGGCTCCCCGTGGCCCCGCGTGCAGGTGGTGCTTTCTTCTCCAGCCTCCGTCCTTCTTCCCTGAACGCTGCAGGTGCACGTTCTCCGTGGCCCTCAGGGTCAGTTTTCTGAGAGGCAGCCACGATCTGTGCAGAGCTCTTGAACTTTGGGGTCAGTGAGGGGGGCTTTGGCCCTTATCTGCCAGGCAGGCTTCCCGCGCTCTCTCCCTTCCTTTATTTGGCGGTGCTGTGATTTGAACCCAGGGTTTCACACTGATCTAAGATTTTCACTCTTCTAGGACCAAGGCTAGGATTCAATGTGAGTGTGGCCTCACTCTGTAGAGGCCTGGCATATTGACGCGCCTATTGTAAATGGTTCCACTTTCCTGGTGTCTTCATGTACACCTCTATCTTTTGAGTCATTTCTACCTTAAGAAGTCGAGAGCCGGGCGCTGGTGGCTCACACCTGTCATCCTAGCTACTCGGGAGGCAGAGATCAAGAGGATCACGGTGCGAAGCCAGCCCAGGGAAATAGTTCGGGAGACCCTATCTTGAAAAACCCTATCACAAAGAATGGGCTGGTGGAGTGGCTCAAGGTGAAGGCCCTGAGTTCAAGCCCCAGTACTGCAAAAAAAAAAAAAAATCAAGGGTTGGAGGCCTGGAGGCAGGGGCTCAAACAGTAGAAGGCTTCCCCAGCAATGGAGCGGCCCTGAGTTCAAACCCTGTGCTGCCAAGCGTGTGTGTATTTGTGGGGTCGAGATGGAGGTGTGGTGCAGCGCCTGCACAGCAAGTACGACGCTGAGTTAAAACCTGGTGCTGCCAAAAGAATGGGCTTTCGGGTGATAAGGTGACCAGGCGTCAAGGAGACTGTTCACCTAGGAGGACAGGAAGGGGAGCGGGCGGCAGCACAGGCCTAGCGCAGGAGGGGCTCAGGACGCATTTGGGGAACGCAGACAGTTGGTGTGGGGATGAAAGCAGACGGGGCCCTGTAGCCAAATTGTCAGCACTGCAGTGACCAAGCCGGTGAAGTCTGATTTTGCCTTTCAGGCTGAGAAGATCATTGAGCGTTTTGCTTTTGAATAAGGAGAATAAAGTGATTAAGATAGCTTAAGACAGTCCTGGGAGTACAGTTAACAAAGTCACCGCAACCAGCAACACTGTCGGGCTTTCATTTTTATTAGCACACGTTCATTGCACGGGGACTCGTTGTGCCGGGTAGCAATGCGTACTTGACCTTCCAGCTTGTGTCTGTGCTTCTGGAACGCGTTCTAAGGCTGCACCCGGAGAGACGCGGAGCTTTGGCAACACCCGGAAGTCACACCTCGTCTCAGCTGTCTTTGATTTTAAGTGATAGGTGCTCACCTTAACTTGGAGAAAGGAAAAGGGTGTTTTCAGTCCTGAGGTTCTAATCCAGGGCCTCGCACTTGCTAGGCAGGCCCTCTACCGCTTGAGCCAGGCCCCCAGCCCTTTTTGCTTTAGTTATTTCTCAGGTAGGGTCTTGAGTTTTTTCCCCAGGCCTCCCTGGACCTCAGTCTTCCTACATCTGCCTCGCTCGTAGCTGGGGTCACAGATGCTCACCGCCACACCCAGCTTATTGGTTGAGATGGGGTCTTGCTAACTTTTTGCCAAGGCTGGCCTTGAATTTCGATCCTTCTGATCCTAGGATTATAGCCAGTAGCCACCACACCTGACTTTTTAAATTTTTTGACATAGGGCCTCACTAAGTTGCCCAGTCTGGTCTTGAACTTGGATCTTCTTGCTTTAGCCTCCAGAGGAAAAATGAAATTTATGGCTTATGTCCCCAGAAGCCTGAAGACTGGATTCAAGAAGTCGTATGGTGTCACTGACTGCACCTCTGAGGTGCTGCCTCTGTGCTGACTTCATGCAGACACAGGTTTTCTGCAAGGAGAGCCACCAGACTCAAATAGCTGTGGACTCAGCACCTCAACTTTGGGCACACCCCGCTCCCTGAAAGCACTCTCCTTGGTCCTGCTTGTGTCGTGAGCCCTTCCCTGAACCAATGTCTGTTTCTGGTGGGACAAGGTGCCTTGACTGGAAGTGGCTGGGCCTGGGTCCATCCCATGGGATGAGGGGTCAGAGTGCAGGCAGTTCTTGGAAAGAAAAGATGGTGGGCAGGGGGAAGACAGAAGTAAGGAACTTTCCACATGATTTGCGAGAAAGGATGCTGGTCAGAAGGCAGAAGGCCATCCAAGAGGAGGCGTGAAGACAAGTCAGCGGTTTAACTGAGCTTTCCAGTGTCTTAATCCCGCCTCAACTTTCCCTGCAATTTCTTTTTCCTTAATTAAAAATTCTACTTTGATGGCAGTACTTTTGGAGCCAGTTACTCTTCGCGGGCCCTGGATGACGGTTGGCCAAGGTGAGCGAAGGCTATTTTAAGAGATGTGGGCACGTGTGAACTTTTTAGATGACCTTGCTCTCTCCACCTTGAACATTATTTTAGGAATTTTTATTATGAAATGGAACCTTGTTTTCTCTTATAAAACTTAAGCCTTCCACGTATAATTATGGGCTTGTATGCAAATGTACGTCAAAAGCTGTTTAACTAAATCTAGGTCTTTGTAGTTCGGACAGAAACACATTTGGAAAACATATACCAGCAGGATGGCCTGACTGGCAGAGGGGTTCAAGGCCTAGCAAGTGTGAGGTCCTGAGTTCAAGCCCTGGTGCCGCTTAAAAAAAAAAGGTCTGATTTAGTGTCCTTATACTTGAGAGGTGGAAAAATAAGTGTTTTTCTAGGTTTAGTGGGTTCCTGAAAGGAATGGAGGACTCATGATGATTGCTCATGCAGCTTATTTGATTTCTGGTCTCTAAGTATTTCTGGTCTCTAAGTATTTCTGTACTCAGTCCCCCAAAGGTGACAGATGATAAAATGAACTGAAAAGTCCTGCTGCATCTGTTGGGCGGGGGATCATTTTCAGGTCTCCCAGTCACATTCAGGAGGCATTTAAAATGCCTCTCTGGGAGGAGTTCTCTTCTCCATCCGTTCTCTGGGCGAATGGTGACTGAGCCCTGACTGCAGATAATGTAGCCTGGACCTGAGGTCCAGAAAAGGTGATCTCCAAACTGGTACCTTCTTATCTGTACCCAGGAAAAAGCATCTGAATTTTCCAGAGCGCTAATTAGCACTTCAGTATCTAGATAACCAACAATTATGTCCTCATGGCCGTCCACAAAGGAAGGCACAGCTTTTGCATCCAGGATGGCAGGGCACACACTCCAGGCACGTGATGTTTTTATCCTCTGGGGTAAGGCCTCGTACCCTCCAGAGGGGAGGCTCACACCTGTGACCAATTGCAAAAGCCATTCAGGGGGCTCAGCAGCCTCCTATTAATGTGTGGCCCAGCTGGCCACTCCTGTTCTGTGGGTTTGCGGAAGTCACCCTGCAAATCAGAGCTCGGGCCCAGGGAGACCCTCAGTCTGGCCTCATTTTAGCCATGATGAGCAAATGAGCGAGGCCAGGGCACGTTAGTCTCTCGGGCTATGCAGCTAGAAAGCAGAAGAGCCAGGTCCCAGACCCAGGTGGGGCTCTCCTGGGCTCTGCCCACTGACTCTGTTTCCCTTTCATGTTCTGGCTTTTAAAGGCAGCAGCCTCCCTGGAAAGAAGAAAAGCATCCTGGATTCAGGCTGACGTCGGCGCTTAACAGGTACTGGCTTCTTCTTAGGAGTTTAAAGATGGAGGCCAAGCAGTCTGCCTGGCCTGATCTTTACCTGTTCTCTGACCTCTGTCTGTTGTGTTTGTATGACGTGGGTTGTTTGGTTTTTTTTAATTTATTTATTGAGTGGTCCGAGAGCACTGCAGCACAGTATAAGAACACAGGGTCTGGAGTGAGACCACCAGGCTTTGTCCTGCCCCGCGACCTTGAGCAGATGAACATCTGTAATGCTCGTCTGAAGAGTGAAGATAGGCCTACCTCTGCTGGGGCGGTCGTGAGGCGTCAATAAGATAATATGTGGCTGGCAAAGTGCTCAGTAAACACGGATTATTCTTATGATCACTTTGGATCCCACTCCAGGAGTGAGGGCCCTACCTGGAACAGTACACTGCACGAATATAGTGTTCTGTTTTAAGAGGCTGAATGATTTGCAGCAGGCCCCTGAGTTAGTATGTAAAGGGAATAGGATTTCAACAACAACAAAAAAAAAAAACAAGTCGGGCTTGGTGGTGCATGCCTGTAATCCTAACACTAGGAAGGCTAATGTAGAAAGATCATGAGGGCAAGACCAGCCTGGGCTACACAGTGAGACCCTACCTCAAAAAAGAAACAAAACTAACCGGGCACCAGTGCCTCACACCTGTAATCCTAGCTACTCGGGGGCAGAGTTCAGGAGGATCACTGTTGGAAGCCAGACCAGACAAATAGTTCCCAAGACTCTATCTGGAAAAAACCATCACAAAAAAGGGCCGGTGGAGTGGCTCACAGTGAGGCCCTGAGTTCAAGCCCCAGTACTGCAAAAAAACCTAAGCAAAAACAAAGAATCACCCACTAAAACCCCCTTTTAATAGTGTAAAATTTTAAACATACCCCAAAAAGAAAAAACTGTAAGGGCCCCTTGTCACCATCTTGGGGTGCTTTAGTCTTTGTCAGCATTCTGCCCGCTTGTTCCTTCTCTAGCCCTCACCTAGCATCCCAGTCCCAGGACCAGCCAGCAAAGTGCAAATGTCTGACAGCAGAAGTCTGAAGACAACCTTTAAAACTCACACTAACCATTCTTGCACGTGACAAATCCCGTGATCTAAGCCCATTCGTCCCTTGCCAGTTGATTGACACGCTTGAGTTTCTTCGAGTCTACAGACTCTCTGCTCCCGGGGTCCAGGCTTTTCCTGTCCTGTCCCGCAGTCGTCCCTCGTTGGAGGCCATGTGGCTTTACAGTCACGTGAGGTGGTCACCTGGAATGGACCACAAAGAAACTTCTTTTTGGCAGTATTAGTTTGAACTCAGGACCTCACGCTTGCTTGGCAGGCGCTCTACCACTTGAGCCACTCCTCCAGCCCTGTTTTGTGTTGAATATTTTCTTTTTTTGCAGCACTGGGGTTTGAACTCAAGGTTTGAACTCAAGGCCTCCACCTTGAGCCACTCCACCAGCCCTCTTTCTGTGAAGGGTTTTTCAAGATAGGGTCTTGTGGAAGGAACTATGTGCCTGAGCTGGCTTCGAGCCGTGGTCCTCCTGATCTCGGCCTCCTGAGTAACTGGGATTACAGGCATGAGCACCAGCTTCTGGCTACAAAAAAGCATTTAAGCTGACTTAAAGTTGCTCTCATGCCCTTGTCACGACAGACGATTGTACGTTAGATGTAATAAGTAAGTATTCATCCCGTGGAGCTGAGGCAGGGGCAATTTGACACATTTGTGGTTCCCAAACCTTTTGTGTTAGGACCGCTTCACGCTCTCAGAAAGTACTGAGGCCCTCAAAGATCACGTCCACATAGGATAGGCCTGCTGACATTTTATCTACTGAAATCAGAAACCAAATTAAGAGGTTTTTTTTTTTAATTTTGCAATAGGTATCAATGCATTTAAAAATAACAATAACAAGCCCAGCACGTGTTAACATAAATAATATCTTCTTTAAAAGAAACACAATAATATTTTCCAAAACAAAATAATTTACCAAGGCGGTGCATTCTCCATTTACATGTTCAGTCTGCAGTGACCTCACCTACCGCACAGCTGCTGGAATCCCCACTGGGCCATGAGAAAAGGCAGGGAATGTTGTAGAATCATGTGGAAGACGGTCTTGACCTTACGTTTTCCCTGAAGCGGTTTGAGGTCCACTGTCCTATGTGCTCCTTCCCTGGGAAACTGCTTTTCTAGGAGGAGAAAACACAGCCTGGCCACAAATTTCTACACAAATTTCTACAGTAGCTGTCTTCTGAGCTGCAAAGAAGAAAAGGGAGATCCTAGAAGGAAGCTGTGGACCTGAGGCCTGCTGTGTTCAGTTAGAAAACCCTGTAATCAGCTTCAAAGTGTAAGACTCCACAAGTGCTAATTAAAATCTTCTGGAGGGCCAGACGTGGCTCACGCCTGTAATCCCAGCTACAGGAGACACAGATCAGGAGGATCATGGTTCAAAGCCAGCCTAGGCAAGAAGTTATTAAGACCCCCATCTCAATCAATAAGCCAGGCATGGTGGCACACATCCACAATCCCAGCTACTTGAGAGGTAGAGGGAGGAGGATAGTGGACCATGCTGGCCCTATGCAAACACACAGGACCTGTATAGAAAAAATAACTAAAGCAAAAATGGCTGGGGTCTTGGCTCAAGTAACAAACCACCTGTCTAACAAGCCTGAGGCCCCGAGTTCAAACCCCAGTACTGCCAAGAAAAGGGAGATATCTCTTTGGGCCTGGTAGTCCTCGAGCTGTCATTGATGTAAGGACAACAGGTGGGTCCTGACGTTTTGGTTTAGGATGATTGTAAGCTGATCACTCTTACCCTCTTTCACTGAGGAAGGAAGGATTTTCAGCCAGACTCTCTCCTCCCCTCTTAGGACCAATTCCGACTCCGCTCTTCACACGAGTGCTCTGAACGCCAACCCCCAGGACCCCTATGGAGGCGGGGGCCAGTCGACCTGGCCTGCCCCGTACATGGGTAAGACATGGTTAGACATGGGTTAGACATGGGTAAAACATGGGTTAGACATGGGTAAGACATGGGTTAGACATGGGTAAGACATGGGTTAGACATGGTTAGACATGGGTAAGACATGGTTAGACATGGTTAAGACATGGGTAAGACATGGTTAGACATGGTTAAGACATGGTTAGACATGGTTAAGATATGGGTAAGACATGGTTAGACATGGGTAAGACATGGGTTAGACATGGTTAGACATGGGTTAGACATGGTTAGACATGGGTAAAACATGGGTTAGACATGGGTAAGACATGGGTTAGACATGGTTAGACATGGGTTAGACATGGGTAAAACATGCATTAGACATGGTTAGACATGGGTAAAACATGGTTAGACATGGGTTAGACATGGGTAAAACATGGGTTAGACATGGTTAGACATGGGTTAGACATGGGTAAAACATGCATTAGACATAGACATGAGTTAGACATGGGTAATACATGGTTAGACATGGGTTAGACATGGGTAAAACATGCGTTAGACATAGACATGGGTTAGACATGGGTAAAACATGCGTTAGACATGGGTGAAACATGGGTTAGACATGGTTAGGCATGGGTTAGACATGGGTAAAACATGCATTAGACATAGACATGGGTTAGACATGGGTAATACATGGTTAGACATGGGTTAGACATGGGTAAAACATGCATTAGACATAGACATGGGTTAGACATGGGTAAAACATGCTTTAGACATGGTTAGACATGGGTAAAACATGGGTTAGACATGGTTATACATGGTTAGACATGGGTAAAACATGGGTTAGACATGGTTATACATGGTTAGACATGGGTAAGACATGGTTATACATGGTTAGACATGGGTTAGACATGGTTAGACATGAGTAAAACATGGGTTAGACATGGCTAGACATGGGTAAAACATGGGTTAGACATGGGTAAGACATGGGTTAGACATGGGTTAGACATGGTAAGACATGGGTTAGACATGGGTTAGACATGGGTAAGACATGGTTAGACATGGGTTAGACATAGGTTAGCCCCTAACATGCTTTCTCCCACCCTGGAGGACCCAGACAGGCTGAGCCGGCACGCGCTTCCCCGGTAGGTGTCTGTGGAGAGAAAGGGCCGGCAGGGAAGGGTGTGTGTTGTGACAAGGTTAGCGTGTGGCTCTTGCATGGCGTCTTCCTCCTCCCCATCGCCCATGGCCCTGAACTCTCAGGTGGACTCTCGTGTGGACTCTTGTGCAGCTATTTTTTTTTAAGTTTGGCAGCACTGGGGCTTGAACTCAGGGCTTCATGGTAGCTAGGCAGGTGCTCTACCATTGAGCCACTCTGCCAGCCCTCTTATGTGGACTGTCACAGGGGCTGTCACGGGACTTTCTAACTGCTCTTCATTTCCAGCCTCACGCCCTGCAGTCCAGTCTCACGCTGGGCTCTCTGAGGTTCCCTCTGGTTTCTCTTTTCCTCTGGAGGTCCATGGATTGAACCCCAGAAAGAGGCAACTCCCTCAGGGCCCCCCATGGGAGGAGAACTCAGGAAGGATGGTGGTGGGGAGAGCAGAGGGGGAGAGGGAGGGAGTGACTAGAGCGGACTGTCCCCTGCGCCTTCCCCATTTTCCTGCTCAGATCATCCCTCCCTCCCCTTGAGCCTGAGTGGAGGGGCAGAAGGCCCGGTGTGGCCAGGAGCAAGGACGAGGCAGGCCAGGTCATCTCACACCATGTGCTACCAGAGTGAAGCCCTGTCTGCTTGTTTTGCTTTCCTGACGAAAACCAGCCCTCACCTTAAGGAGAACGGGTCCCTGTCTCTCAGGTTGGAACAACACCAGCCCTGGAATCCAGCCCCTGCTCCCCAGCCTCCCTCCCCAAGTGAGCCATGAGAGCCACCTGGAGTTCTTCTGTTTCTCTGTGTCCCCATTTCTTCCTCTGGCAACTCCATCCTGACCTGCCTGGCCCGCACCATCCCGATCTGTGAGCCTCAGCTCATGTCTGCATTTCTGGGGAGCCTTCTGTGACCTTCCTGCCTCTGTTGCTACAAAGCTACCTTTGTCCCAAAGCTCCTGCTAACACAGTGCTGGCCCAGAGGACTCTGCACTGACGGAGAAGTGGCTCTCGTCGATGGGGTGCTCCTGAAACTCTGGGTGCTGACATCTGAGCAGGCCCTGTAGACTCAGCCCAGGCCTGCCTTCCTGGGGCTTCTAGTCTAGAAAGGACAACAGTCCTGAATTACTCATTGCCATATGCAGACTGACTGGGAAGGATCTGTGGCCAAGGTCACCAGCTTTTCTGGTTTTCTTAGTTTTTGGATTCTTTAAAGCCTAAATTATCCCCCTTCCTTCCCAGGAGAGAACCTTCGTGATCTTACTTCACTGTTGCTGTAGTTCTTCCCTTGGTGCAGTTTGGGGGAGACTCCAGTTGCTTACATGAGTTCCTGTGAAGCGTGAGGGCTTTCAGATTCGGTTGGGAACGGCCCCCCATGTTTCCAGGCGTGAGGCTATGACAGTATCTGGCAGGGATGTGAAACTGGACACGGGGCACTGGCCACTGCTCAGACAAGCGAGGTGTGTGGGAAGTCAGCGCTTTAGCTTCAGGGTAGGTAGAGGCAGAAGTATTCAAGCAGCCTAAAAAGTCAGAGGCTGTCACCAGTGGGGGACCACACATGCAGCCTGGTCTCCCTAGCCTGGGAGGCATCCAGCCCCGGATTTAAACCTGCGTTTCTCCAGACAGGGCCAAAGGCTCAGGGGGAACAGGTCGCTTAAGTAGGGAGTTCTCCAGATTTGGCCTAAAGAGAAGATAATTGCCTGAATTGAAATCTTTTTTCTAAGAGTGGTGTAGCCTCTGAGAGAGAGGGGAGAGATGTCAGAATGGGTGAGAGGGAAAGAAATGAGGGCAGAACCCCTAAGCCAGGCAGCAGTGCAATAAGAAAAGGGGAGCCCAGGGGAGGAGTCCCTGAGCAGGCCTCCTGGGGTGGCTTCTCCTTTTCCAATCAGTTGGAAATTACTGGGCCACAACACCTGACGGCCCTGCAAGGTGGCCGGCCTCCAGCTTGGCCGGCTGCATGGGCCCTGCCCTTGCCTGCAGTATCACAGAACTCAGAAACACATCCAAATATGGCCGTGTTTACATGGGAAAGCCAGTGTGTTTAAAATATTATTCGAGTCTCCAAGGATGGGAATTATTTCTGGGAATTATATTTGTTGGGAAGGAGCTATTTTGAAGAGTTTTATGTGTTTTCCTCCTGTAATTCATTAGCGTTTTTCATTTTCTTTTCTTTTGGAATTTAAAAATACCAAGTAGCTTCACAAAAAAGGTATTTCTTTTTATAGGACCAACCAAATAAAGTAAAAATTTCAGAAGTGACGGGAAAATAAAGTTGAAAGCCCAGAAGTCAGGTTCTGTGCTTGGAGCACAAACGTTCTTTCCCTGGGAATCTTTCTGAGCTGAGCGGAGGACTCTGTGTTGTTGCTGTCATTGTCGTGAAGCATCTGCTCATCCCTTAACTACATGAGTGACAAACTCTAGGAGACCTTCACTTTTCATAACGGTTACGAAGTTGCACGTGAACTAGATAGACATGCATGTGTGTGGTCGAAAGTGACAGAAATAAACTTTTATACAACCAAATGAGATTTTTGTAACTTCTCTCTTCTGGTTTAATTATCCAAAATCTCTAAAGAGAGCTGTTGACCGTGACCCTGGCAGCACGGCCACTTAATCACCACTTGTGCACACATGCAGATGGGTGGGCACACTTGCCTGTCCCACAGCCGTGTTAGCCCCTGCACGTGGACGGGGGTGGGGGGGGCCCCGCAGTGGCCCCCACTCTTTCGGGGACAGCCTGGGGGCTAAGGACAGAAGACGGCCTCACTGGTGTCTTTTCTCCATCTAGAGCTGTAGGTGCTGGATGGCGCCATCTTTGAAGACCCCAGTCCTCTGTTCTCCTCTGGGGAGCAGGGACACACTTGTATCCCGGTGGCCTTTCAACTTAGGGAGCAGGTTTCGAACCCAACAACCCTGAGGTGTAAGCCCATGCGACACCCGATTGCCTGGCAAAGATCTCAGGTCTCACAAGGGAAGGAATGTCCCCGGGAAAGGCAGGAGGCCGGGAAGGCTGAAATTCTAGAAGGCTCCTTTAGGACACTCTGTGGCTAGGATTTTCCTTCGCCTTTTCCTGGCTTCAAGGCCACGCAGGAGGTATTTGAACTTGCCAGGCTCAGGAGCGCACGGAAGGAACCCAGTCTCCATGTGCTTAGTAAGTCAGCTCTCTGTGACTCCAAGGCTGTGAGGTTTCCTGGGACACAAGTGTGGCCTTGGTCATTGCTGTCCTGTCCCTGCGGGACTGATGTGAATTGACTTCCTCTGTTTCCAGACACTCAGCCATTACTCCTTCCTGTTTATTTTTACCCTTTGTTTATAGCTGTGTCCTCTGGTACTCTTAATCTAGTGGTAAAAACTCCAGGCTTGGCTGTCTTGATTTTGTGCTAGTTGAGTGCACGTGGCGTGTCACCTTCTTCCTCCTTATCCTTCAGGGCCTGGTCTGGCCCGAAGCCCACCTTCTCTTGGGGCCTGGCAGAGTGGGCAGCACAATGGGGTGTCACCTGGGGAGTCTGCTGGCCTCGCTGACAGTTTCACCCAGTAGCCCTCAGGTGTCTCTTCAGTAATTAAACCGAGGGTGACTGGTGTCTTGATAGCGAAGAGCTGCTGCCACCTACCATACTAGATTGCTATCTAAATAAAAGTTTTTCATTTTTATAGGCCAGTCACGTGAGTGATCAGAAAGCTCGAGTTCTCCTCCCCCTTTCCCAAAAAGCCAGAATTGGATCTGAAAGCCTTTTCTCCTGTCCTCTCGACAGGGCTGGCGGCAGAGCCACACCTTCTGTCCTGTCCCTGCTCTCTAAGGTTGTCCTGGTCACAGGCGTGTCTTTAGAGGTGCTGGATCACTGGTTGGATAAGCAGCAGCCTCGACCACGTCTCTAACAAGAGCGGGCCACGGGTCCCCAGAGATGAGCAAAGACGTTGATTCCGGATTCCTTGGCCAGTTCTCGCACTTCTGAGTGAACGTCTTGGGGGTCGGCCCGGGGATCTGCATTTTGACAGCGTACCCCAGGGGTCGCGAACCTGCAGTCTGATTCCCTTACAGCTGGGAATAACGCTGTCTTTGCCAGCGTGCTTAGTGCGGACGTCTTGGTGCCCCCGGGTCTCCCAGTGTCGCCCTGAGCCCCACCTCACTCAGATTTTCCGTTTCTCCCCGCGTGGCTGCGGCGCTCTGTCTTCTCGCCCCCATCCCGTCACCGCCGCCCGTGCTGAGTGCAGGAACTTGGTCAGTGTACTCAGAATGAGTGATTATTAATGTGTCATTTCCGTTTTATAGGCTAATCAGGTTAATTTATAGCTTAGCCTTTTCCAGCAATGTATCTAAACTGAAAGTGAGCTGTGACTAAAGGCTTAGGTTTCAAAATTTGTCCTGGTTCTAGCTGAAAACTCATTGGGGGTAATTGATCGGCCCAAGGAGAACAGGGAGCTAGTGGGTCGTGGCACAGCCTCTGTTTCAGCTTGTACTTCGTGGATTCAACCAGAACGGATGGCGAGTCAGATTTTTAAAACCCTGTGAACACATATCACATAGACCCTTGAAAGAGACTTAAGACTTTTCTTAAAACAACTTGACTGTGAGAAGTATCCTAACGGTGTCCTTGGATGGAACTTTTTCTGCAGTCTACACACCACGGTCAGTGTCAGTTGTGACAAGGACGCCTTGAGTTACCTGTCCTCACAGGGCAAAGCATAGGGAAGACAGTTTCACCACATATGTTTTTGCCCTGTGACTTGAAGAGAGGTCCTGGGGTTTTATCAAAAGCGTCCCCCTCTCAGGACAGAGGCAGGGAGAAAATTGAAGGATTGCCTGGGACACCTCTCTTGTGTACTGACCCCCCCAAAATTTTAAGACAATTTTAAACGTAGCTAGGAACCAACCTGAAACTCCAGATCACTGCATCCATTTCTAGTACGAATCCTGCTGCAGCCTGAGTGAGCCTCCATGTTCAAAACCACTTTCGACTTTCAGACCTTCTATTTGTAATCAGAAAGGTGCCAATTCCCGAATAAATGGAAAAGGACCATTTTTTTTCTTTCCCACCAGGTTACTGTGATGGAGAGGACGATGGACACGGGGAAGGTAGGGACCAGGCTTGCTTTCCTGACTCTCGCATGTGTGACCTTCTGTCTGCAGCTTGACAGATGAGCACAGCTTCCCAAAAGGCTGACGGCTCTTGGTTGGGTTACTTTTCTTAATTTTCCTAGAAAATTAAGGCTACTCACGATCAAAGATGAGGAAGGAAATGTGTGACTAGATCACAGAGGTCCCTCGTTGTCCCCCAGTCACAGGTTGTACAAGGAAGCAAAGTAGTAACCACATGGAAACACGAAGCCATCCATCACTTACGCAATCAACTAACTCAGTGCCCTGCTCTGCTCATACTGTCTCTGCCCATTTAGGAAGTCTTTGCAAGTCACTGATGGACAGAGGCAATAAACAGTGCAAGGGAAGTGCAGACGTGATTTTGAAATGAAATTACAAATTTTACAGAAGGTGCAAATAAAGCCAAATAAAACAATTTTGGAGATCTTTCAAAAAGGCGCTCAGAGCCACTGACGAGTGAGGGTTCAGCACTCATTTATTCACTCAGTGCCAGGTACTGTTTTCTTCTCCCTAAATCTTTATAAGCTGGAATTTAATTTTCATAATCTGAAACTGAACAGCTAAATTAGGTTTATCTGTCACCGAGGTAAGACTCGGGGAACATGAGTTCTCTGTCATCGTCCCATGTCCCTCTCTTAGGACCAGCCATTAACTAGAACCGAGAAAAGCAGAACCGTCGGTAAACGTCTAATCCATCAGGACAGAAATACAGAACCGGCTTCAAGGTCATTTGCTTTCTCCGGATGACTTCTTAATTCCCAAATGATGGGGGGCAAATCAGCTCCAATATATTCTAAGAATTTTTATAAACGTAACGACGTACCCCAAACCTCAATATACTATGATAGTTACAAAAGCAAAAAGGAATTCCCAACAAACTTTATATATGAAAAGAAGCTGGAACCAGTGAGCCCCTCAAAGAGGACAACCCTGTTAAGGCTGCAGCCTGCCCCAGCCCAATCCCAGAACCCACCTCGAGAGGCAGCCTTAAGTCAGGAAGCCAACTTGCTCAGCCCTGGGACTGTTCCCTGCCATCCCATTCCACAGTTCTTTTCAGAGCACTTTTCTATTGTGTTTTGTCAATTCTGGGATTTGAACTCAGGGCCTCTCCCTTGCTAGGCAGGTGCTCTACCACTTGAGCCACTCCAGCCCATTTCTGTGTTAGGTATTTTTTGAGATAGCGTCTCTCAAACTATATGTCTGGGCTGGCTTCAAACTGAGATTCTCCTTATCTCTGCCTTCCAAGTAGCCAGGATTACAGGCGTGAGCCTCTGGGCCCACCTTTTTGTTTTGTTTTGTTTTTGTTTTTGTTGGTTTGTTTTTTCACTTTTCTATTCTGGCTCTGCCATAGCCTTGGTCTCTAGAGGCTGTTGAAGCCCATTACTTGTCCTCTGGTTTGTGGGGTCAGCTGCAGGGCTTACATGTCACCAGCCTGTGCTAAGCCCAGGCCTCACCCTCATGGAGCTTGTGTTTCTGAAGCAGCTCATGGTAGCCATTAGACTGGGTAACCTGGGAAGAAGAGAAAGTCAACAAGAATGTGGACAACATAAGTTCCTCAAAGGAGAGTGACCAGGGAGGGGACGTAGCTCAGTGATGGAAAATGTGCCTAAAAGAGGCTGAGACAGAAAGAGGGGGCGGAGAGAGAAAGAGACTCTGAGAGCCACAGCAACAAGGGAGACTATCAGGACTGAGTGACACCTGGAAACACGGATAAAGCAGAAATGCCACTTGCTCCGGTAGTGCTGGGAAGGTGACCTGTGAAAGCATTGACAGTGAAATTAGATCCCAGCCATGCTTACTTTGTCCTAGGGTTCACAGTTGCAGTTATACCCTGTTTTAATAAATAAAAGATCAAATAAACTTATGTTTGACTTTTTGTTTCAACCCCTTTTCTTGGAAATTCCTCTGAAATTTTGCTCCCTGTTTTAAGTGACTTCCTTCTGGGGTCCCTTATCCATCCTGAGTGTTTGGTGACAGTCACCCTGGAGCCACGGTCAATGGAACCTAGCAGCTCCTACTTCTGAGCAGTCACCAGGGTTGTAGTCCAGTCCCCTTCCTGACGTCAGATCCCCTCACTCCTCAGGGCCAGCCTTTGTTTCCCAGTGTGTCTCTGAGAACAAAAGCCTTTGCTTGTTTTGGGGCTCAGCCTTCTGGGTGCCTGGGAATGCTGAGGCCGAAAGCCCTGGAAGGGGCTCTTTGTGCAGAGCCAGGCGGCTTTGGAGCAGAGAGCCACCGGGGCCACCAGGAACTGCCCAGCCTCAAGTCCATGGTCGCTGTTTCTCTTTCTTCTCAGCCCGTGGGCTCATCCTCTTCTCCTTTCATTGCTTCCTAGATCACTGTCGTGGCTGCAGGTCCCCCGGCCTGGCCTCGGCCTCCACCTTTTATTTGTAACCTCTCTTCTTCCCCAAGGAACAGCGCGCTCTGTCCGGCACTTGCCCAAAGTTGCTCCCTCTCTCTGGGCCTTTTGCGCATCTTCTGCTCCCTTGGGGTCCCTTTCCTGTGCCCTTAGTCCCCAGCCCCGAGCCAGCGTGCCTGGCGTCTCACTTCTCTGCCCTGTGGTGACAGTGAGCACAGTGAGCACATGCTGTCCCTGCTCCCCTGCCTTCTCCTTGAAAGACGGTTATGTATGTGTGGCTGTCACCCCGGCTGGGTAATGACATCCTGAAAGGTTGAATCCAACTGGCTCTGACCTCAGAGGACTCAGTGAAATCCTGCAGGAGAGCTGGGAAGAAGGAAGAGAGGGGCCAGAGATAGGAAAACGGACTAGGGAATGATGTTTCAAGAAAAAAAAATGATCACACTGTGTCTGTGAATTAGTTACTGTGGTGAACTCTTGACTTCCAGGTTTTCATGTGAATTACTCATTCAAAAGAAACAACCAGAAGTGGTGGTGCACACCTGTAATCCCAGCCACTGGGGATGCTGAGGATCCTGAGGAGGATCAGGAGTCCAGGCCAGCCTGGGCCACATAGTCAGACCGTGACTCAAAAAAAAAAAATTATCTGAGCACCGGTGGCGCACGCCTGTAATCCCAGCTACTCAGGCGGCAGAGATCAGGAGGACCTCAGTTCAAAGCCAGCCTGGGCAAATAGTATTCAAGACCCTATCTCGAAAAAATCCTTCACAAAAAAGGGCTGGTGAAGTGGCTTAAGCAGCAAGAGCGCCTGGCTAGCAAGTGTGAGGCCCTGAGTTCAAAACCCCAGTGTCACCAAAAAAAAAAAAAAAAGGAAGGGAAGGAAAGGGAAAGAAGGAAGGAGGAAGGGAGGAGGGAGGGAGGGAGGAAGCCAGCCTGTTGAGGCCATGGTATCCTGTCCATCCTGGGAGGAGCTCTGGAGCCTGGGTGCAGCCACCCCTGGCAGTCTCCAGCTTCTGCTAACAATGACCTTGCTTAAGCAGAGGGCTATGACCCGAGTCCTCCTGCAGTCAGCACAGGACTCATCTGTATGGCTAGGATTTCTGTGAGCCTCTGAGTGCTTGTATCTGAACCCTGCTGGCTGACCTCCGCCTGCTCTGGACAGACACCCGCTGTGGACAGAGGGAGCCCTACAGTGCTTGACTTGGCGCTTCTTCCCGTGGGGAAGCTATCTTGACTTTGAATTAAAGCTCATTTGTCAGTCAGGCACTGGTGGCTCACGCCTGTAATCCCAGCTACTTGGGAGGCTGAGATTAGAAGAACTGCAGTTCAGAGCCAGCCTGGGGAAATAGTTCTCAAGATCCCATCTCCAAAATAACCAGAGCCAAATGGACTGCAGGTGTGGCTCAAGTGTAGAGCACCTGCTTTGCAAGTGCAAAGCCCTGAGTTCAAACTCCAGTCCTACCAAAAAAAAAAGAAAGCTCCTTTGTCCCAGCCTCCATGAGCCCGCAGTGACTTGTGTCCTGTCTGGGCTTCCCGGCCCCCACCTGTCGGTGTCCCTTTGCTTCGGCTTACCACCCACACAGTCTCTGCTGACATTAGGGTCGTCTCGAAGTTTGTTTTTGTTTTTTTAATGAAAGCAAGGTGTATTTGAAGTTTATTGGGGGGCAGTGCTAAGAAGAGCTGCAATCTAAATTCACGGATTTAAAGCCAGGAGAGGCTGCAGCCACGCGGTCTTGGCTGTGCGAGGCGTGGGTGGCGTGGGAGTCCCCACAGCAAGCCAGTGCTGAGGTCACTTCCTCTGGAATGGGGAGCTCGTCGCCCTGTTCCCCCCAGGCTCATATTCTAGCTGAGTTACTTGTTTTCTTTGACATTTGTTTCCTCTTTCTTCACCCTGTTTTGCTTTTCTGTTTCCTTCTTTTCCTTTCAAGCCAATTGGAAAAGGAAGCATTTATTTAAAAGCTGTAAAACATTGACCTGTTCAAAGGAAATAATTTATCTAGAGAATAAATTAATAAATCATCAAATGAAGAAAGTATGTTAGCTGGGCCTGGTAGTACACTCCTGTAATCCCAGTACTTGAGGAGTGGAAGATTCTGAGTCTGAGGCCAGCCTGGACTACATAGCAAGACTCTGGCTCAAAAAAAAAAAAAAGACAAAAAATATTAATGATAGCATCCCTTTAGCTGGAAGCTTAAGAATTTTGAAAGCCTCGGAAGAGTTTAAATGGCTGCCCAGTGAGGATTCTGTGGACCCGTGCCGGCCCCCTCCATGCTGACAGGCGCTGTCCTTGGACTTGACTTCACCCTAAGTCCAGCTTTCTTTCTCTTCCCAGATTCAGTCCCTGTCAGGGCGGCCTCGATCCTGTGATGTTGGAGATGGCAGGTAAGTAGCGCTGTCCCTGGCCAGGGCGTCCTTGGGAGGAAGGCTCCCACTTGGTCACAGCAGCCCGAGGGCACGGCTCACTGCGTGTAACCCAAAAGTCACCTGTGTTTCAAGAGCACCTGTTGCTCTTGTGCTCCCTTCTGTGTGTTTGAGAAATTCATCGCGTCACGGTTGGTGTCACCAGAAGTACGTCTGCCAGGCCAGGGACTCTGGGCAGGAGCAGAGCACCGGCCTACAGAAGCCTCCGGCCTGTGCCTGTGGCCAGAGGAAGAGGGAGGGGTCAGTAGCCGGCAGCTGGCTGCATGGACGTTGATTAAAAGACTGTCTGTGAATAAACTTAACAGCCCTGAACTGCGTGTGTAAAGATGGCTACAACAGTGAGGCTTACCACAATCTTACATAGCGGAGATGGTGGCTCACGCCTGTAATCCTGGCTACTCAGGAGGCAGAGATCAGGAGGATCATGGTTCAAGGCCAGCCCCCAGCAAATAGTTTGAGGGACCGTCTTGAAAACACCCCATACATAAAAGGGTTGGTGCCGTGGCTCAAGTGGGGGAGCACATGCCTAGTAAGCATGAGGCCCTGAGTTCAAACCCCACGCAACCAAAAATAAAGGGGGGGGGGTTGTCAGGTGAATGAATAGGAAGATTTGCAATATGAAATACCAGATCCGATGACACCATTAATTAATTAGCTAATTAATGGATTTCATAGTTTACCACTTCAGTCCCTAAAATATTTGAGACAGCTTACAAAAATAGGTCCAGTAGCAACATATGAGAAGATAAGCGTGGGAGGACTGAGACTCAGGGAGAACAGGTGGAGAGAGGTGACAGTCCAGGCATGAAGGGACACACGGGCAGGAGGCTGGTGGTGGCTGCTCGGGGCGGCACAGCTGTCGCTTGCACTGGAATGGTTAAAAAATTCTCTCTGCCTGTGGCCGGGCAGCGCCCTGAGGGCTGTGCAGGACACTTGTCACAATGTCTCCCACACAGCGTAGAACCAAAGGCACGGATTCAGACACAGCAAGTCTTCCCAGGGCCAAAATAACGTGGCTTGAAATCAGGGACCCTACCTGATGTGGCTTGGCACAGCACCAGTTTGGAGGGTTTGCAGGTGACATAAACCAACTTCAGGCCACCCTGAAATATTGTTTCCCCCAACAAAGCTTGTATTTCACTGTGCTTGGGGCACTCCCAACTGGGAGCCCAGGGCTCAATCATTCTCTTTGGCTGGTTAAATATAAACTCTTTCAACAAACAGCCGATGAGCTGAGAAGAGGGTTGACATTCTGTTCAGAAAGTCAGAAAACCTGCCAGGCACACTGCAGGACAGAGACCAGGCCACCCAGGTACTGGCTCTGCCTGAGATTGTCCTCAAGAACCAGTTTTGGCCAAGCATGGTAGAACATACCTATAATCCCAACACTCCAAGGCAGGAGGTTTGTGAGTTCAAGGCCAGCCTGAGCTACATAGCTACATGCATCCTGTGTCAAAAAATAAATAAGAAAAAGGAGCCGGTACCAGTGGTTCACGCCTATAATCCTAACTACTCAGGAGGATCAAGGTTCGAGGCCAGCCTAAGCAAATAGTTCATGAGGCCCTATCTCAAAAAAAAAAAAGGGCTGGTGGAGTGGCTCAAACAGTAGAGTGCCTGCCTTCCAGGTGTCAGGCCCTGAGTTCAAACCCCAGTACTGCCAAAAGAAAAGGCAAGCAAAACAAATAAGCAAATCATAGAAAGTGAGTCATTTGTAGAAATGGAGGAAAGCAGAGGGGCAGTGAGTGACAGGCTTTTCTGATAGGGTGATCTGTGACCAGCATCCAGAAGGAAGTGAGAGGAAGAGGGTTCCAGGCAGAGGGTGCACAGGACAGCGAGGCTGGAGCAGCGAGGCTGGAGCACCAAGGCTCGGACTCCGTTGGAGGGTTTTGAACGCAGAGCATCAGCTGCCTCACGGCAGACCCGCCATGACTCCATAGGCGGTAACGATGCTCCCAAAGTGACACTTGTGTTGCTCCCAAGTGCGGAGAAGCTGTCGTGAGTGTTAGCAATGACCAGGGTCCTGTTGGTGGCATCCCATGTCCCAGCCTTGCTCGGTGCCCTTGGACACCATCTTTGCCTCCACTCCGTGCCTCGCTCGCCTCCTTTCCCTCCTGATTGACCGGGGGCCTTTCTTACCTCAGCTGGGGAGCAGCTCTGGAGTCTCAGGCTTACCTTTCTAGGCTCCACCCTATAACCAGTCCCGTGCACCCATGTCTGAATGATACGAACACCCCAAGTTACCCCTCTTCCTTCGGCCTCCCATTTGGGCCTCTTTCCTACTGCCTCATTTTTCTCTCAGCCTCCACAGTTAGCCTCGTCCTCCTCCTTTTACTAGGAAGAGAGGGGCTGTGCGGCACAGACAGCTTCCTCCTGTGGGGACACGGGGTCCTTCCCGTTCAATGTGGATGGCTTTCCCGTTTCCCAGCCCTCCTCCCCACTGGCCTCTCACGCGCGGCCTCTGTCACCACTCACCTGTCCCTCCGGCTTCCAAAATAGTCCCAGCCACACTTTAGTCTCCCTGCTCGGGCGCCCCTTGACCCCTTGTGGCCTGGCTTCCCTCTCTGTTCCAGTGGAGCCGAGCTGGAAGGGGACTCACCAGAGCGAGTGTCAACCCTAGAACAGAATCACATTCTTACCCATCCCCACCGCCTCTTCCCCATCTACTCACTGCCTCCAGTGTCCCTGTGGGTGGCTCATCGGTCCCCAGGCCAGAAGCTTGGAGTCATTCTTGGTCCTTCCATAGGACAGCGTCCGTCCCCATGGCCTGGTGAGTCCCCATCTGCCCGCTCAGCTGTGGCACAGGCGTCTCTCAGCCCCCAGTCCTGTGACTCCACTGCCTTGGGAAAGTCAGGGTCCCCTCCCCTTCACCCCGGGCCTGGTCTCCTGTCCCCGCAGTCGGGGTGCTCTCTGCCTGCCTCTCCAGTCCCAGCTCCCTCTGGTGGCCTCATGGTCCCTGGGTGGCATGTGGCTTCAGGCCTCTCTGCTTTTGCCCACGCTGTGAACTGTGCCTGAAGTGATGTGGCCTTGCAGCTCACCTGGATTCTTTGGCCTTTAAACTCAGCTCCCATGGCCTCCACGAGGCCTCCTCCAATCTCCTGGTCTCTGTCTACACCGCACTCTGCCTGGCTCAGTCATCGCAAGGTCCGCTCTTTTGGCTCTGTCGCCTGCGCCAGCTGTGCCTTGCTGGTGCTCCGTGATGCGGCTGTGCTGGGTGAAGGGTCCCGGCTGATGGCGCCGTCTTTCTCCTCCTCGGCCTCTCAAGCCTGGGATCAGATCAGACCCAGGCCCTGCAGCAGCCTGCCCACCTCGCTCCCGTCGTTCTGCTCTCAGCCACTGTCACAGCAGCGTTCCTAGCTGTCATTTTCTGCAGTCCGCAACAGCAGGTGTCCTCACTCTTGCTTTCTCACCCCGGGTCGCACTCTGCCCTGACACACGACACCACGGCCAGCTGCGCTGTCGTGTCTCCTGCAAAGCCTTCCCCTCCACAAGCCTTCCGACACTGCCAGCTGCCTTTGTGCTCGCAGTGTCACAGGCCGAAGCCCTCATCAGGCCTGGCACAGCTCCCTGCTGTGTTGGAGCCGCAGACCCCACAGCAGGTTCCCTCGGCCGCCCTCGAGAGGCCCCCTTCCCGTGAGGTAGGGAGTCCAAGGGACCACAGGGACCCACAGTGACAGCCCAGGCCCGAGGAGGGGCCGGAGGGGGATGCAGGGTGTGGACAGAGCCTAGCCGTGTAGCCTGGAGGAGCCATGCGGGTGCCCGCAGTGCAGAACAGGGCTGAGGACCCCGGGGGTCAGCGCGAGTGTGGCCGTCCACGCTCCTCTGAAGGCATCATTTGTCAAGACGAAAACCCAGAACTAAGTTCTTTTAAGGGTTTGTTCGTCACATGACTTAGAACTTTTAAAGACTGAAACAAGGGGTAGGCCGGCCTTCCTTGTTGCTCCTGCCCCGGGCCTGCAGCTGTTAGGGACAGGCCCACTCTGTGCACACACAGCTTGCCTGTGTGCCACTGTACCTCCAGCATTTTACCCAGGGGCCAGCCAACAGATGTTCTTATTTATTTATTTATTTATTGCATTCCTGGGGCTTGAACTCAGGGCCTTCACCTTGAGCCACTCCACCAGCCCTTTTTTGTGATGGGTGTTTTCAAGATAGGGTCTCGTGAGCTGTTTGCCTAGGGTTGGCTTTGAACCGATCTCTGCCTCCTGAGTAGCTGGGATTACAGCTGTGAGCCACGGCACTCAGCTCAAGCGACGGATTTTGATAAATGAATGGCAACATGTTTTCCTACTTTAAAGTTTATGAAAACTACAATTGAAACAATGTATGTCAGCTGGGCACCAGGTGGCTCTGACCTGTAATCCTAGCTAGTCAGGAGACAGCAGACCAGAAGATCACGGTTCAAAGCCAACCTGGACAAATAGTTCCCCAGACCCCATCTTGTTTTTTTCTTTTTTTTTGGCAGCACTGTGGTTTGAACTCAGGGCCTCACACTTGCTAGGTTTACCGCTTGAGCCACTCCACCAGCCCTCCAGACTCTGTTTTGGGAACACACACACACACACACAAAGACCGGTGGGTGGGTCAAGTGTTAGAGCACCTGCCTAGCAAGTGTGAGGCCCTGAGTTCGAATCCCAGTATCAACAAAAACAGAACACGGTATCTTGAAAGGCATGTAATAGCCAGAGATACATTTTTGGGAGGGGTGAAGGAAAGGTAATTTAAAGCATTTGTGCATCCATAATCGAATCTGGTCTTGAAATAGTCCGCCACCAGTCCAGTGTAATTCGTAAGGAAATTGTATTGCAGAGAGATTAAGGTCATGATCCCGGTCTCAGGACAGGGACGGTTGGCGCCCACACTGGGTCTCTGAGCTCTGATACCCAAGGAAAAGATGTCACACGTGTCCCGTTTCCCGGCAGCCAAATGTCCTGTGGAAAGTAATATTTTTCTTCTTTCTTTTTTCTTTTTCCCGCAGTGCTTTCCCGCATAACGGTCAAAGCATAGGCCTCTCGCCCTTTCTGGGGACCCTGAACACGGGAGGGTCACTACCAGATCTCACCAACCTCCACCACCCAGCGCCTCTGCCGGCCTCCCTGGACGCCAGCAAGCACCTCTTTGGAAGCATGAGTGGGGGGAACAGTGTGGGGAACCTCCCCGCCGCCATGACTCACCTGGGGATAAGGAGCTCCTCTGGTAAGCGTCCTCCACTTACGAAGGTCTTGACTGTGTCTCCTGGTGGCTGAACCCCAGGCCCCCAGCCCTGTGGTCTGCTGGGTGCAGCAGTGAGTGACGCAGCTGCTGGCCCTGGTGGCATTTCTGCTTGATTTGACAAGCTCTGGGGTGACTCTGCTGAGTCTCATTCCTCGTTGCTGGCGTACACCAGGGGGCATGGGGACAATATTTGAGGGTCGAGATGAGCGTCATTCACTGTGACTAACAGCAGCTCCTGTCACGTGTGGCGATCATTTATCATTTAAGCCATTCTCTAGGTCCCTCCACTTTCCCACTGGATTTCAAAAGAGAGTCTTGAATTTTTGAAATTTTACAGTGGTTACAAGGAAAATATTTATACATCATATATGTCTATTAAGTAGAACTTTACTGCCGTTCAAAATTATTCATTCAGGTTTTCAGAAGTGCTTAAGGACGTGATATTAGCCATATTAAAATTGACCCATGAGCTAGGCACAGTGACTTTTGCCTGTAATCTCAGCTACTTGGGAGGCAAAGATCAGGAGGATCGCAGTGTAAGGCCAACATGGGCAGAAAGTTAGCAAGACCCCATCTCAACAAATAAGCTGGGTGTGGTGGTTCAAGCCTGTGATCCCAGCTACAGGTGAGGCATAAGTGGAAAGATCATAACCCAGGTCGCTGTGCAAAGATAACCAAAGTGGAAAGGCTGGGGTGTGGCTGAAGCAATAGAGCGCCGCCCCACCAGCGTGAAGCCCTGAGTTCAAACCCTAGTACCGCCAAAAGACCCAAAGTACAAAAAACAAAGCAACAGAGCTAGAGGCAGCGACTGTGGTAAGCACCTGTCTGGGAAGCCCAAGGCTCCAAGTTCAAATCCTAGTGACCCGTAATGTGACTCAGTGCTCCTGTGCTGGGGTGATTGCCCACAGCTCAGATGCCGGGTCAAATAGGGCTGCATTTGCTTGAGCCGGCCTGGCTCTCTTGTCACGTTAGGGCAGGCAAGGCTCCCTCCTCCCACGGGTGGCACAGCCCTGGCTGTAGGTCCTCATGGGAACCGTGCTGCAGAACATGGAGGGGACCCGGGCAGTGGCCTGCAGGTGGAGGAAGTGTTGGCTGGTGTCACCTGGTGGATCGAGGCTTCTCCCCCAAGTCAGAGGCCTCCACCTCATTGGGATTTTTGGTTTTTTGGCAGTACTGGGGTTTGAACTCAGGGCCTTGCATTTGCTGGGCAGGTGCTCTACCTCAGTGGGAGGGGTCTCCTTCAGGGAATGTCCTCTGGTGACGGGGACACCTGTGCAGCACGGCCGAAGCTTTGCTGAGCTGATTTCAGACCACCTTTATTTTTGTTCCTTTTCCCTTTTTGATCACTGTGTTGTCTTTAACAATAAGCCAGTCTTTCCCCCGCTGAGTCTGGGTTCTGATTTTTAGAAGCCAAGTCACGTGTGCAGTGTACAAAGAGAGTGGCAGAGACCCAGGGTGTTTCAGAGAAAGTGTTCAGTGGGACCCGGGACCTCAAGGAAAGGACCCCAGGCTCCAGCCCCAAGTTTACTTGATCTGTTTCATAATGGAAACGCTCAGACCCTCGAATTTCTGGATCACAGCCTGGTGACTCCCCGCCCAGCCATGGGAGTGTTCTGTCAACAAGAAACCCAGGGCCTCAGCTTCACTGAGCTCTGTGTGAGGAAGCTGGCCTCTTCCAGGATGACTTTGACACTTTGCTTTAAGCTGAAAAGCTCACGTTTCATCACTGGCTGTTATCTTCCTCAGGAAAGCATCATTTTGTCCAGAACACAGCTAATCCAGGTCAAGCTTTTATAGTTTCAACGCAGTCCTTAAAATGCATGGTACAGCTGGGTGTGGTGGTGCATGCCTGTAATCCCAGCACTTGGGAGGCTAAGGCAGGAGAATCATGAGTTTGAGACCAGCCTGGGCTCCATAGCAAGATCCTGTCTCAAAAAAAAAAAAAAAAAATCCATGGTAGACATATTTTTAAGAGATGTTTGAGCTTTCTTCTGAATGAAGAGGTGTTTTTTTGTTTTTTTAGCTCCGGTTATTATTTGAGCTAACTGAATCTCTGACCTCTTCCTGGATTGTTGAGTAGTGAGACAAATTTCACCATAGACATCTTTCCACCTTAAAAAATAAGTCTGGCAGCTCAGTGTTTTGTGTCGTCTCCATTTCTGTATCTTCCATCAAAAGCACTCGGTGTTCGTCAACACCCAGCGCACGTCTCACCCCCGCGGGCGCGGAAGGGCGAGCTGGGGTTTAAGCACGGGTGCTGTCACTCGAGACACAGTGGCAGAGCGTTGCTCACTTGTGGAGCAGAGCTGCCACAGGCCAGGGTCCCGGCCAAGTGCTCAGGTCAGGTGGGCACAGGCCAGGGTCCGGGCTCTGCGGAGCGCCTTCCTCCCTTGCCGTCTGTGCTGGGGAAATGCCTGCCCCAAGCCTTCTGGTCACGCTAAGTCTCAGCCCTGTCCCCCAACAGAGCAAGGGAGCAGCCCAAACTGCCTTTTCTCTGAGTTGGGATACACAATGTGCAGAGTCCAAAAAATAAAGACAGAGGGACCCTGCTGTGGCAGAGATGCTGGAGGCCCTTCTTGTGGCCCCTGGCGTGGGAAGGCGTCACTGAAGACCGTTCTCCAGGCCAGCAGGGGACATGAGCAGAGTGCTCGGGACAGGTGCATCAAGAGGCCCTGCACAGAATTGTCATGGAGCCTGTCCCTTGGTTGGACTGAGCACACTGGCTCCTTCTCCCCAGGGGACCCCGAAACCATCTCTTTCCTGCTTGGAAGCTAATGCTCGCCTCAGTCCCTCCGGACGCCTGGCACCCTCTCTCCTGGTGTGGGCGCTTCTGTCCCCTGTCATTGGTCCGTCTGACACAGTAGGAGAGTCACCCTCGCATACGGGGTCAGCACCCCACGTGCACAGCGGGAAGCTGTGGACTTGGTCGGGAATTGTGACAAGTAACCGGTGACTCTGCTGTCTTCCAGGTCTGCAGAGCTCTCGGAGCAACCCCTCCATCCAAGCCACGCTCAGTAACTTGGCCCTGTCCTCGTCCCTGAATAGTCACCCACAGACACCGGTCGCCAGTGCACCTGCTCTTCACCCCTCGCTCCGTCTCTTCTCCCTCAGCAACCCGTCCCTGCCCACCACCAACCTGAGCGGCCCCTCTCGGCGCCGGCAGCCCCCCGTCAGTCCCCTCACCCTGTCCCCTGGCCCTGAAGCACATCCGGGTTTCAGCAGGCAGCTGTCTTCCACCAGCCCCATGAACCCATATCCATCCCAGGTAAGAGAAGCACCTGCACAGAGCTTCCTTTCCCCTTCCCTCCTTCTTCCTTCCTTTCCTTCTCTGGAGTTTGTCCAGGACCACACCAAGGGGTCCCAGATCTCATCCCCGAAACGAGAGCCCAGTGCCAAAAAGTCAGAACGCATTCGTGGTTGTCTTGAGCTGACTCATGAGCTCAGACGGGGAAGCGTGTACAGTGGGATCCACGTGTGTCTAAGATAGTCCCAGGAAACCAGTGAGATTTCAAAATCGGCGTGGAAAATCAGCTATTCACTCTATAACTGCATTAAGCCACCAAGAAGCATTTTGTGCCTTTCACCTCTTCCCTGATTACCGCCCCGGAGTTGACAAACAATACTTTTACTGTTCGTGGGACACTACGGCCGGTGAGGATTACAGCTCTATAAAAGGACCAAACGAAGTCTGTTTAGAGAAAGGCACCTTTTAGTGCTGTGGGACCTGTCATTCCAGGTACTTGGGAGGCAGAGATGGGGAGGATCACAATTCAAGGCCAAAAGGACAAAAAGTCAGTGAGACCCCATCTCAACCAACAATCTGGGCTGTAATCCCAGCCATGTGGGAGGTAGGAGGATCACAGACCTTACCTGAAAAATAACAAAGGCCAAAAGGGTTGGGAGAGTGACCCAAGTGGCAGAGCATCTGCCTAGCAGGTGCGAGGCCCCGACCCCAGTGCAACCAGAAAAAAGAGGCATTTTGAAGTCACAAGCCCGTCACAGAAGGCAGGAGTCGAAGGCCACGCTTAGACTTGTCGGCTTTGGTTTTGTTCTAGACTCTGAGGGGTGGGTCTCCTGCCAGGTCAGTCTGCATTTTAACCTAGGGGTCACCTCCCCTCGCCTCGCCCTCCCCAAGCAGGGGAGCTGCTCAAACCCAGGGAAGGAGGCAGGAGGAAGGTCTCCGTGGGTCTCCCTTCACCAGGGGGCGGGAGCCGGGTGGGATGGTGAGTCTGCGCTCTTTCTGGCTGTTTTCTCCTTTCTGCTTAATATTCGGATTATTAAAACACCAGTGTTACTCACGCACGGCTCGAAAGGCCTGTAGTTCTAATGGATTTGTTACGGAATGCTAACTGCCTCAACCACACACATTTGTTTTCTTTCCTTTCCTTTCTTTTTTTCTTGCAGTGCTGGGTTTTGAACTCGGGGCCTACACCTTGAGCCACTCCACCAGCCTTTTTTGTTTGTTTGTTTGTTTTGGTAGGACTGGGGTTTGAACTCAGGGCTTTGCGCTTGCAAAGCAGGCTCTCTACCGCTCACCAGCCTTTTTTGTGATGGGTTTTTTTGAGATAGGGTCTCCTGAACTATTTGCTCAGGCTGGCTTCAAAACTCAGTCTTCCTGATCTCTGCCTCCTGAGTGGCTGGGATTACAGGCGTGAGCCACGGTGCCCGGCTCGCTTAACCACACTGTTCACAGCCTAGACGTGGCTGCTCTCGGCCATTCGGCTGATCTCTCTGGTATGAAAGTGTCATTTCCTTCTAGGTGGTTGCTGTTGAGCATTACCTAATGACATCGTGCATCAACGATCAGGTTTAACGCCTGCAGCAATCCCACAACTGCCCTCCCCCATCACGCTCTGCCCCCACCCCGCTCGTTTATCACAATTTTGGTTAAAATAATACTCAGGGTTCAGTGTTTGTGTGGTTGGAGCAATGTGGCCAGAGTTGAGCCACACGTTCATTACACGTCGTGTACCATGAAAAAATGGCCCTCTCTGCTCGTCCTGGGAGTTAATAAGTGTCGGGCTGTGTCAGTCTGGGTGTGATGCACGCGTTACTGATTCAGTCCCAAGCCCTGGGCGTTGGGTTTGTGTGAAAACAAACCTCCACTAGCTTTGTAAAAAAGAGCATAAGGGCTGGGCACCATGGCTCACACCTGTAATCCCAGCTGCTCAGGAGGCAGAGGCCAGGAGGATGAGGTTCAAAGCCAGCCCGGGCAAATAGTTCCATGAGACCCTATCTCAAAAAACCCTTCAACAAAAAGGGCTGGTGGAGAGGCTCGAGGTGAAGGCCCTGAGTTCAAATCCCAGCACCACAAAAGTAAAATAAAATAAAATAAAATAATAAAGTAAGACCTGCAACGTAGTGGCTTTGTGTCTTTCACAGATGGTGTCTTCAGAGCGAAGCCCCCTTTGCTTCCTGCCCACAGACGCCCAAGCCCAGGCCTCCCCTCCACCCCCTTACCCCACGCCCCCGGAGCTGCCCCCGTCACTCCTGCAGCAGCCCCGTCCCCAGGAGCCCCCCGCTCGCCCCAACTTCCAGCTGCTCCCGTCCCAGGTAAGCCCTGGGGAGCCAGGACAGGACGGGCGCCCCCTCCTCTTCCCGAAGGGCTTGGCGGTGACCAGCTTCTTCCCAGCCCTGGGCTTTGACCTGCAGTCAGTGAGGTCAGGCCTGGCCTTTCCTCAGAAGGTGGGTGACCGCCCGGCCTCCCGCCTCGGTGACCACAGGCCGTTCCCACGCCGCTCCCCTGCTGTCCGCTGTTCTGAATGGCCCCGGCCTGCAGTGCTGGTGGCACTGCCCTCTGTCTGGCCAGGCCTCCGCACAGGGCCCCTGAGCGCAGGGACACCTAGACAATCCTTCACCCTGGAAGGGGCACAGCAGCCAACTGCTCAGTCCCCTCGTGTTGAGGAAACTGAGGCACAGGGAGGGTCACTCCTGCCCCAGTGGCAGAGTGAGAAACTGCAGTAATGTGCCTGTGTGCCCCAGTCGTGCGGCCCCCTAGGGAGCTTGGCCCAGGCGGGTCCTTCTGTATCTTCACTGCCCACGTTTTTAGAAGGGATTTTTTTGACACTGTCCTGGCTGTACCTCTTTTATTTATCTATTTATTTATTTAGTGGTTCTGGGGTTCAAACTCAGGGCCTACACCTTGAGCCACTCCACCAGCCCTTTTTTTGTGAAGGGTTTTTAGAGACAGGGTCTCATGAACTATTTGCCTGGGCTGGCTTTGAACCCTAATCCTCCTGATCTCTGCTTTCTGCGCAGCTGGGATTACAGGCGTGAGCCACAGGCCCAGCTGTCACCTCTTGGTTTTATAGTGTTCAGTAAGCATGGATCAGGCTCCAGGATGGATTAAAGAGTGGAGGAAGGACTTGATAGTAGTAAAGTGAATAAGCACAGCTATTTCCTAAGTAGGCTGTGGGAAGCCTTGTGATAAGGACAAGGAGTCTTTGCCTCCCTGTTTTGGGGGTTTGGGAGTTTTTTCTGCGGTGCTAGGAATGAAACCCAGGGCTTCACTCATGGCCAGCAAGGGCTCTACCAGCAAGCCACCCCTAGCCCTGCCTCCCCATTTCCTAAGGAGCCCATTTCAGTCTGGTTGAGAATCTGTGTTTCCCTGAAAAATGACAGGAACTCCTTTTGAGACTTTTCGTCTTTGTTTTTTGTGGGACTGGGACTTGAACTCAGGGTCTGCACCTTGAGCCACTCCTCCAGTCCTTTTTTATGTCAGGTATTTTCGAGATGGGGTCTTGCAAACCATCTGACCAGCCTGGCTTTGAACCTCAGTCCTCCTGATCGCTGCCTCCTGAGTGGCTAGGATTACAGGCGTGAGCCACAGTGTCTGCCTTTTGAGACATTTTCAAGACGGTCTGGAAGATTAATTTCAGGAAGGCCCTTTTTCTAGCCAGTCCTCACAGAGGCTTTATCACAGGGCAGCGCTGCCTGGGGTCCCGCTCTGAGTGTGCAAGCGAAGGTCTTCCACTTTCTTGCTTTTCCAAAAGCCAGAGAGGAAAGAGTCCAGCCTCCCTTGGTCACAGCTGGAGCCTTTGAAGGGCTCCAAACATGGCAGTTTGCAGAGGACTTGTTGAGGTCTGTGCACGCTGTGGTCCTGCTGTCTCTTGGGGTCACGTAGCAGGCTATGGACGGAGAAAAGCCACTGACATTGTGGACCTCAGGGCCCCTCGTCCGCCCCAAGGGTATTCTGCAGTAACTGCTGGGCCTTAGAAGGGCTGTGGGATGAGGAGCACTTGGCACTTGATCCTCTGCTCCTTGGACACAGACATGGCTCCTCACGTGTGACCTTTGGTGCTTCCAGATGCCCCTGGTGCAGCAAGGCCACCGAGAGCCACAGGACTCATTTCATCTGAGACCAAACCCGTATTCCAACTGTGGGAACTTCCCGAACGCCATCCTGACGGGTGAGTTGGGCCGCCCTTCGCTGCTTCACTGGCTTCGTTGTGCTGGGTTTTTACCTTGTAGGATAGTTCAGAGCATGACACCATAGAAAGAAGTTCCCCGGCTCCACTTTGCTTTTGTTTCGCAGTGCTGGGGTTTGAACTCAGGTCTACACCTTGAGCCACTCCCCCAGCCCTTTTTTTGAGATGGGTTTTTTCGAGATAGGGTCTCACAAACTATTTCCCCAGGTTGGTTTCGAACCACAATCCTCTTGATCTATGCCTCCTGAGTCGCTGGATTTCAGGCGTGAGCCACCAGCTTCCACTTTGCTTTTTGAGACGCAGGTGTTCAGCCCCAGAGACCATAAGACGTGGGAAAAGGACCTGCTGGCCAGTACTGAGTCCCAAGTGACTAATGACCATCCCTAAAAGAAAGCCTGCAAAGGGAGGCTTTGGGAGCTTGGGAACTGACCATCCAGCATACCAGTTCCAGCCAGATATAATGGCTCATGCCTGTAATCCCAGCTACTCAGGAGGAAGAGATTGGGGGATAACAGTTCGAGGTCAGCCCAGGCATAAAGCTCATGAGACCCTATCTCAACCACGCCTGTAATCCCAGCTACTCAGAAGGCACAACTGGGAGGCTCACAGATCAGTCCAGCCTGGGCATAAACACGAAACCCTATTTGAAAAATAAATAAAGCAGCCAGGCGCTGGTGGCTCACACCTGTAATCCCAGCTACTCAGAAGGCAGGGATCAGGAGGATCATGGTTTGAAGCCAGTCCTGGCAAATAGTTCTCAAGACCCTATCTCAAAAAAAAAAAAAAAGTCGAAAAAAAGGACTCGTGGAGTGGCTCAAGCAGTAAGAGCACCTGCCTAGCAAGCGTGAGGCCCCGAGTTCAAACCCCACTACCACCACCAATAATGATAATAGTAATAAAAGAGTAAAAAGAATTCCAGAGCAAGAGCTGTAGGCCTGGGAGTGGTCAGTATGTGGGACCTTGCTGTCCTGGGTGGGAAGGTGACAGGATAGTGTTTTGGGGAGTGCCATCAGTTGTTCTGTGAGTAGTCTGTGGCCCTGACACCCCCTAACCAGCCCTGATTTCCCCTCCCCGCGCCTTTCAGAAGATTCGAGCACCAGCCTGTTCAAAGACCTGAGCAGTGCGCTGGCTGGCATGCCCGAAGTCAGCCTGAGCGTGGACACTCCGTTCCCCCTGGAAGAGGAGCTGCAGATCGAGCCCCTGAGCCTAGATGGACTCAGCATGCTGAGCGACTCGAGCCTGCTGGACCCCTCCGTGGAGGAGGTGTTCCGAGCTGACCGACTGTGAGCAGGATGCAGGGAGAGGAGAATCCTCGAGACAGCCATGACAGAGAAGAGGCGAGGGGACCAGCGGGCACCCTGGGCCTCGTGGCCCCAGGCCTTCCCCTGAACTCCAGTCTCAGACCCCGCAGAGCTCCGTCCAGCCTCCCAGGCCTGTGCACAACTTGTACCGCTGCTGCTTTGCGGCTTCTGGTGACCTGGGAGCTCACCCACCCCTGTCCCGCCCATCCTTTATTGACCCCAGCTGGTCATGTGTAAAAGGAGAGAACAGCGTTGACCGGGGTAGCAATGTGTAGTGCCCACGACCACGGGAGACAGGACCTGGCGTGGAGCAGTCAGGGCCCGGGCCCGGGAGCTTGCTCAGCACCCATTGGCACCACAATGCTCCTCCCTGCAGGGACAGGCAGGGTGCCCTGGCTGACACCATGGCTCCCTCCAATGCAAGCGGAACCCCAAGTGCAAAGATTGCTGACCTGGGCAAGCTGTGTGTTCCTCCCAGTTTGCAGTCACTTTTCTGCTGCTTCTCTGCACCTTTTCCCGTGGATGGGAGGAAAAGGAAATCTGTTTATTCAGTCAATGAAGAGAGCCCCCTGGTAACAGGTGAGCCTGAAAAGAACAGAGGTTGAAGAAGAACGAGGGACCATAGGCTGTCCTCACGACAAACTCTGGACAAGCACAGGCCTGTGTCCCTCCCGGCCAGCTTGAGGTCCTGTGAGCGCAAAGCCACTGAGCTGCCCTGTCCCTCCCCACCAGAATGGAAGCTCCTAGAGGGCAGGGCTGTGCCTTCTTCCTCTCCCAGCCCTTCATATGACAAGTGCCTGGCACGGAGTAAGTGCTGTGTGATGGCGTGCCCGTGCACGCACGCAGGAGTGAGTGAATCCGCCTCTCCATGAGGCCGTCTAATCTGTCGCTGACCCTGACCCTGCCAGACCTCAGAGATTTTAGCATTTCCTGTGCCTTTGCACTTTCCTTGCTGTTAGCACTAGGTGCCAGGTCACCACCAGTCTGGGTCCCCGTTCTCCCGGGCAGTGTACCCCGCAGCAGGTAGCTGGGAGCTGTGCTGAGAGCATCCAGAGTGGCAAGTGTGGGCCCTGCAGGAGCCTGGCTACACCTCCACCTTAAAAGATTGTCCCTCTCAGACCCGTGTTTTGCTCTAAATTGCTTCAAATAGTCAGTTGATAGTAATTGGAGGCCATTCAGCAAGCTAGCATTATCCCGTTAACTACCAGAAACTAGTTTCACCGGATTCCACCACGCCTGCCTCCTTGTACCCAGGCCTGCACAGGAAGTTGTGCCAGTGCCCACCTAGCACCACCTGGGAGGAGCAGGAGGACACTGGAGGAGACGCGGGACGCTGGCACCTTTGCTTGCACACGTGCTGCCCTTCCCTGAGCCCCAGGGGTGTGACTGAGAGTCACGGCCCACTCCCACCCAGAGAAGCAAGGCTGCCCAAGGAGGAAGCTGGCAGTGTGTGCTATGACAGGAGCCCTGGTCACAGGACCCTGGCAGGTCAGCCTCCGCACACAGAGCCCACTTCTCTTCTGTCTTCAGCAGCCTCGTCTCCACTCGTGCAAAGTCCCCTGACTCTGCCACCTTCCCCTGGAACCCTGGTTCCCGTTTGCTCCAATGTCTGCTGTTGAATTAGGGAATCAAACTAGAGTCCTCCTTGCTTGGTTTCCGCCTCAGGACAGGCCACTGGCCTCCCCTTGCAAGCCTTAGGCTCACTTAGACTTTCAGGTCCCTTGGTGCTTCAGATCTTGGCGGGGAGGGGTGTCAAAGAAAAAGTGCCTTTAAGTTGTAATGACATCCAGCACCCTAGTGCGCCAACAGAAGCCAGCTCCTGGGTCAAAGGTCCCTGAAATCTGATCTCGCCTTTCACAGGGAGTGGTGCTGATGTAAGAGGTGTGGTTTTGAAGAAAGGAGGTCCTGCTCTTTGCATTGTTTTAGCCACAGGGATCTTTGTGTCAGGCCCAGGTCACTTTGCCCACCAGCCCCACCTCAGAACGGGAGCCCCCGGTTGCACTGCCGGGGTCCTTCTGCAGGTGAGTGTGCAAGCGAAGGCCCCCAGGGAAAGTTGATGAAGAGGCACTGTGATTTAGCCCTGATCTAAATTAATGGACAGCGTCCACCTGTAAGCCTGCACTCACTTCTGCCTTCGTGACACACCTGTCACGTCCTCAGCGTTGGAAGTGGCTACAGACTTTGCAAAATCGACTTTCCAATGTGTACTTTTGTCACAAGACGTCAGTCTGACCGCTCACGTACTGGCAGTTAAGCAGCATAGAACTCAAAGCCTGTCCGCGTCGCCATTTCTCCTCCCGTGTGGGTGAGTTTTTAGGGTTAGGGTGTCAGGAGAAAATGTCCCCGACCCTGTCGAGAGGAACACCCACGCCCCTGGGCCGTCTCGTTCCTCCCAATCTACCGGGTATCCCCGGAGCTGAAAGCCGTGTATTCGAGTCCGCGCGTGGGTGTGAAGACATCCCATTCTCACTCCGTGACACTCCCAGCTTGCATGGCTTCGTGGACAGGACCGTCACAGCAGCTCATCAGACTTCCTGCCAGTCTCCCGACTCCCAGGACCCCTCGTTAACAATATTTAAAGGTTGGAATCTGTGTAAAGTAGCTTCCGAGTTTTATAATGCATCATTTTACATCTTTCGTAATTAAAAGCAGCACAATGAGGTTGTATCTGCTTTCAGTGTTTTTCTTCTCCCTCAGCTGTGATGAATCGCTGTTCTCCCTCCCCCCCCTCCCTCTCTCTCTCTCTCTCTCTCTCTCCCTCTCTCTCTCCTCTCTCTCTCTCTCTCTCTCTCACACACACACACACACACGCACACACACACTTCTGCCTGGTTCAGCCAGCAGTTACCAATTTCTGGCCCCTGGCAGGCCGGATCGTGCACAAACCCACTTGGTGAATTTGCGTGCGGTGCTGGGGATCGAACTCAGGGCCTTGCACGCGCTAGGCAAGGGCTCTACCATGGAGCCACATCCGCAGCGCGAGTTTTCCTGCCGCGTGTGCAGGCCACGTAGTTCACTTAAAACTACGCACACACACACTTCTGCCTGGTTCAGCCAGCAGTTACCAATGCTGGCCCTGGCAGGCCGGATCGTGCACAAACCCACTTGTGAATTTGCGTGCGTGCTGGGGATCGAACTCAGGGCCTTGCACGCGCTAGGCAAGGGCTCTACCACTGGAAGCCACATCCGCAGCGCGAGTTTTCCTGCCGCGTGTGCAGGCCACGTAGTTCACTTAAAACTGGGTGCCGAGAATGAGGGCTCCCTGGACGTGGTTCAGTCTGTCTCCCTCGTCCCCGCTGGAGGCCCCACTCCTTCCTCCCCAGCTGCTGTGTCCCGGACTGGCCTGACCCTCCCAGACCAGGCAGGGTCACAGCACAGTCTCCTCTTCTTCAGCCACACCTGTTGCTGGTCATGGAGGTGACTCAGAAAAAGCCACTCTGTCCTCACTTCCTGAGCCCCCGTTCTTTGACCCACTGTGAATTCTGTCCCTTGCCCTTTCTCTCCATCCCGGCCTGGTCCAGCAGGTTAGTGGCCTCGGGGACATCCCCTTGGCAGCTTCGTCCTGCTGACCCCCCACTCCTCGCGGCCCTCACTGGTTCACAGGCCTCTCTTCCAGCAATTCCAAACCTTCAGGGCCAGCTTTCTCCCATCAACCCCCTCCCTGATTTGTCCCCTCTCCATAAATGAGCCCAAATCTGTCCCCACCAAGCTCCTTCATCCTCCTCGTCCGCTGCCTCATCTGGAGTCTCATTTCTCACAGGCGCCATTGATCTGATCGCCAAGGACTTGCTGCCCTGCCCCCTCCCATCCCACCTCCTTCTTAGCCCTGTCCATCAGCCTCTTCTGTCACCTCAGTCCCCTTCCTAAAGCAGATGGAAAACAGCCTTTCCCAAGCCCGGCTTCCTTTCCCAGAGGAGGAGCTCGTGCCCAGCCATCCTCGCCTCCCCTTGCCACACCCAGTCTGACCCAGTGTCAGTCCCTGTTCTACTGACCCTTGACCCCATGGTCACTCCCTGTACAGCAAATCCTCTCTGGCTCCAGTAACCCTTCCCTTGGCCCTCGTCTCGTATGTGTGTCCTTCATCTTTTCTTTGACTCAGTTGTCCCCAGACCTCCTTCTCCAGGCACCAGGCTGATGGGGCTCAGCCCAGCCCTCTCTCCCTTCCTGCCCGGCAGCTCGGGCTCCCTGCACGCCAGGCCCCTGCCCTCGCTGGGCCTTTCAGACCCCTCTGCATGGGGAGCCCTCCCATCACCGCCTGTGACACCCACCCTCCCCTCGGGGCTCTGAGTCCGTGAGGACAGGGACCATGCCTGGTCATCTGAATTCCACGAGCCGGGGACCAGCACGGAGTGTTTTCATTATGGTTCCCCAGAGTCCATCCTGTTCTCCTCCTCTGGAAGCAGGGTCTCCACCCTGTGCTGTCCTCTACGTGCCTCCAGTGCCTCCACCTCAGATCCGGCCGGAGCCCCAGTGCACGGCCTCGGTCCCCATTCTCTCCCTAGCCTTTGACAGCCTCTCTCACTCCCCTCATCTGCCCCACGGGGAGCTGAGCAGAGTGGCAAATGTCACTCTGAAACGGAACAAGCACCCCCATTCCATGGCGTAGGGAGGATGAAATGGGCTTGTATAACTCCAACACGTAGAATCGTGTCCCACACAGCTGGAGGTGTGGCTCGAGTGCTAGAGCACCTGTCTAGCAAGCACGGAGCCCTGAGTTCAAATCCCAGCACTGTCAAAAACAACATGTGCCCAGCACTTTATAATCACTCAATAAGTGTCAGTTATTCTAAGTATTAATGGTTATTTGTTGCATGCATCTGTCATCCTTAGAGTTACTGAAATACTAAGTATACATCCCGGGCTTATTTTGTTTCTGTTTGTTGAATGAGTGCTGTCCTCTATGCAAAGATGGAAATACGGTTTGCAGTAGCCGTTCTCTGTGGCTGTGTCCCAGTGTGGACACTAGAGGGAGCTGACACTACAGGGGTGGCCCCGAGGACCTGGAAACAACCTGAGGGTTGGTGGGGCACTGTGAGAATTGAAGCCTGTGACGACAGAAGGGACAGAAGGTAACAAGTCTTCTTAGCACCACGCATGTCACGTGTCCCTTACAGCAACCTGAAAGCGATGCAGGGCAAGGGTGACTTCTTGGGTTTACAGATGAGGAAACAGGCCCAGCGAGGCTCAGGCTCGCCCCAACAGTGGAGGCTCACAGCTCTGCCCCACTCCGAGGCCTCCGATCTTTTGCGCACGCCCCGCTTGCCACAAGGCTCTGTCCCCACACATAGCAGGACAGGTAGGGGGTTGGAAAATTTTCCAAAAATGGCCTCATACGATCCATGCTGTTTTTAGAGACAGTACTTAACAGAACAAAAAGAAACCTAAGTGTAACCAAAGAAATTGCTAAGCCACAATGGTTAGGCTGCTTGTCACGCTTCTAAACGATGTCACTGCAGCAAAGGGTTCACTCTTCCCGCAGGTGGCGACAGTGGTGGCCTCTCCGCCAGCCTGCAGCTTAGCTCACGGCCATTTCCTAGCTCCTGCCCCTCCCCAGTTTCAGGAGTTTGTGTTCTACATTGTCAAGGTTTACACTAGTGACATCCTGTCGGGTCACCTCACCGTCCTTACCACGATTGTCCGGCCTCCATTCCGTGCGCGGGTCCCCCGCTCCTGGCCTGTCGTTTGGAACGCCTTTCCCACTCCTGAGTTGTTTTCATCCACCCCTCGGCCCCCTGGGCTTTGTTATCAGGAGTCTTTTCAAGAAAGGCTGAACTGCTCACACCACAGGGCACGGCCACTGGGCCTCGTCCCTGACGTGGGTGTGGCCAGGCTGTACAATTGGCTCATTTATGCCCAGTGAAACACACATAAAGGGCACCAACCAACACGATGCCGTCCAATCTGATCACTTGCTAAAAATAAACTGCGTCTCGAGCTTGTATTTGATGACACATAGTTGAAGTTTTAGAATTTGAAAATAGCCCAGTGCCGTGACTCACGCTTGTAATCCTAGCTCCTCAGGAGGCAGAGATCAGGAGGATCACGGTAAGAGGCCAGCCTGAGGAAATAGTTCACGAAACCCTTTCATGAAAAAACCCATCACAGGAAAGGACTGGCAGAATGACTCAAGTGAGAGCGCCTGCCTGGGAAGCATGAGGCCTTGAGTTTAGACCCCAGCACCAAAAAATAAACAAACAGAATTCGCAAATAAAGAAAATGACGGGATGAAGGCCTAGAGAGTTCAGTGCTCAAAGACAGGACATGCCTGTCTTCTGGCTCAGGGAAAGTCAACGCCTGCCTCCATGCCCGCCCCCGGCCATATCCCAACAGTCCCCCCACTCTTACCCCCGCGCACACCAACCTGCACGCTTCATTCCTGTCACAGCAGTGCCCTCTCCCTCCTTCACTGGGGAAAATCCAACTTCTCCTTCAAGGCCTATGTCAAAGGACACCTCCCCCGTGAAGACTTCCGGTGAGGTTTGGATAACTGGCCTGCAAATATTTACTCTTCCCCTTCCCCCTGTGGGAGAAGGGTACCTCCAGGCCCTCCCCACTCACCTTTTTCTTTTTCAACCACTTCAGCTGTCCCCCTCCACCATCACCTCCCAATCCCCAAGCCTAGAGAGCAGGGGCCTTCAAGCTTTATGGCAGGCCCCCCTGTGGCTGCCATAAAGTCCAGGCCCTTTTGCTCTGGACTGTGCTCTGTGACTTGCTTGGTGACACAGGCTGTCATCTGGTACATCTGCCATTGCCAGGAGTAGAGCTTCTCCTTGGTGGCCCTTGGTTATAGAAGAACAAGAGAAAGGACAGACCTCAACCAAACTTGTGCCCGGGGGTCAGTTTAGCCAGATCCACCCAGCTGAAACTAGCAGTGCTGCCCTGAGAGGTCTGCAGCACAGGAGGCAGAAATAAATGCTTAGAACAGTAAGCCATTGAACTATGGGGCCGTTTGTTATGCAGCAGTGCCGTGATCAGTAGCTGACTGATACACATTCTGTTTCCTCCTTGTGCTTGAGTTGTGCTTGGTTCTCAAGACTTCCTTGCTTAACTGAAGCGCTTATTTTGTTGAAGAGGATCTGCCTTTCCACTGGTCTATGAGCAACTTGAGGCAAAGTGTGTGTCTGATTCAATTCTGACACCCCAGTACCCTACTAAATGGCCAGGGTCATCCTTCTATCCTTTCCATCTGCACCCTGTCCAGTGTCACTGGAAGTCAGCACGGCTGTCCACCTTGGTCCTTGGATCTGGCAATAGAATAATTCAGGTAAGACGCAAAAATGTAGAGAAAGTACAGCAAAGTTTTTTCAGAAAGAAATACACTTTCAGTAGACTGAAAGCACATCATCTCTAGAGTGAGAACGACGACGGCCATTATTTTTACCCTGGCATCAGTTTTTATTGAGATGGAAGGGGCTTGGAACATCAAGTCCCTTCCTAAAACCAGCCCGCAAGGCTGAGGTCACGGTTAAGGTCACAAGGCTAGGGCAGACGTACAGATGTACAATATGTCGATTATGGGGTCCAGCTGCCCCACAGACACGGTTTACAAGCCTGGGTCTTTGTTTTGTTTCAGGAGCTGAAGTCCGCCTGCCTTGGGTGGGTGACTCAAAAACG